CGCGTCACGCCTCACAGCATAAAGCAATTACTGTGGCGTGTGTAGAAGTTGAATCAGTGTTTAGGGGGCAACTGCCCCTTGTTGCTGTCTGTGCACCCAAAAACTGGCGCGGTTGTTGCTTGAGTCGTTGCACGTGCATCCAGCGCCACTTTGATTTATGAAATTTTACCCCGCTAACATCGTGACACACCTATATGTTGGCTTTGGTGTTGGGGCAACTGCATTGATTTTGTGTCTGCCATAAGCTTTGACCTCCGCATCGAGTTCGACGAAGTGTCAGACTTTTTGGCTGGCTATGTGCTACCTGCACATAATTGAATAGAGCCTGCCACGCCCTAGCGCCACGTATCCGCCAACTCTGCTGGCTTGGGATATGTAGCCTTTACTTGGCTTGCCTTTTAGCGCTTATTCAGCCAGCATTTTCGGCTCTGCAAAGTAGCTTAAAATTTTCACACGAAAAGCGCCTCGCTTGTTGTTAGACCAACACTTTTGTTTTTGCCCACTTGACTTAACCCTTGCAAGCTGCAATGTTTCTGGTGCATTTTGCTGATGCTCGCTGGTATACCCTGTACTATTTTAAATAAGAGTCGTGCCATGTAAATAGTCGGGAAGCTATGTGTTAAAGCGTGTTTTACGTAAGGTACAGGATATCTCCTGGTCGTGAATTAATAAGCAGAACAATTTCTTTTCTTTTTATTGAGTGAGTGGATTGGGTAAGTTCTCTTCGAGTGCTCGCGGCTAAGATTTCGAGTTATTCGAGTAATTTTTATCTATGGTGAGAGATACGAAGAAGCGGCAATTGTTCTTGTCAATGGGTATCAGACATGAGTACAGGGTATCTCCAAGTCGATACTTGTTGACTAGAATATACTTAATTAGTTTCAACTGATTATAATTATAAGTTTGTTGCCTTGCACAAGCTTACAGGATATTTTTAAGTCGTGCGCTCTCAGCTAAATATTCTAATCTAAAAACAGGTAAGAGGTTCTATTCGGGAGCTCCCGACTAGGGAATACCCTGAACCCTCTTCTTCCAACATCAAATGCATATATATATTCTATTTTAGAAGCTATATGTCAAGTTTGGTGACTCTAGCTCTTATTATTTACCAAAAATGCCCAAAAAACAGGATATCGATTTTTATCGATTGCTTGGAAACGGAGTAAATTATCTATTATCGGAAACAAACTCGATCTGCGCGGGAACTAGGAGCATCTACATCTAAAATTTCAAGTCTCTAGCTCTTATAGGTTCTGAGATCCTTGCGTTCATACATACGGACGGACGGACGGACAGCCAGACGGACATGGCTAGATCGACTCGGCTATTGATGCTGATCGAGAATATATATACTTTATGGAGTCGGAGATGCTTCCTTCTGCCTGTTACATACATTTGGATTTTGCACAAATACAATATACCCTTATACCCATTTTTAATGGGTTCAGGCTATAATTATTGGTGGCAGGCCTATCTTATTAGCGGTATATTCTAATGGAAGTATATTGTAAGCGCGGCACTCGCGTATAGGGTATCTACAAGTCTAGTTCCTTGGGCAAACTAACATTTGTTTTCCATTTTGGGGGATGTGACAATGGAGCTCGGAATTACGCGCGCGTGACAACTTTTTGCCATTACAAAAGTTAAAAGAAAAAAAGGATTTTTTTTGTTTGTAGTTAGAAACTGTTTTTAAAAGGGGTTCATAATGAGATGAAGTGTGGTTTGTTTTTTGGTATGATTACAAATTAATGAGACCTTAGCGTGACGTTGATATAGTAGGACAGACCATACCAATTGGGCACTTCCATTGAAGCTACTTAGACAAGAAAATTTTTTGTTTTTCGATTTGATTGGCAAAATGGCAATGAAAACATTCAAAGCGATGCCTGTGAAATCCTTATCGATAATGGCTTTGACTTGTAGACACGTCAAGCTCTTTGCCAGTCAAAACAGCTGCACTAACATCAAGTGCCCACTCATCGTTATTGCTCGATATGCACACAAGCACACACACTTACACACACGCACACATTCATACACACACACACTCAGTCAAGAGCAGTCGCTGAAATTCGTTTCTGGCAGCAAATTCACTTGTGATTGTTGCCACACGCGCTTGAGCCGCAAGCACAATGCGCAAATACCAGCAACAAGGACTCAAGCAGGACTCAGCCGTACAGCCGTGAAAGCCGCAGCGCGTTCACACAGACATGGACGCTCACACCCACATAAGCACGTGTGAATTTCCGGCCAGATAAAAAGAAGTAAAATATTTTGTAGCGCGCTTTGCGGCGCTAAGGTGCAAAGTAGACGGATAAACGTGGGGCAAAGCTGCGTTTCGGTAACAAATCGAATATGTAAAACACATTTAACACTTTTTTATCGTTGTTGTTGCTCTTGTTGTCGCCCTTGTTGTTGCTGCATGTCAACCTGAACATGTTTATCAAGCACATGTGAGCTGACTTTCGAGCATATGTGTATGTGCGGGGAGTCCATCTAAAATCAGTGAAAAATAAAAGCAATTTAAGTATGCTAATCAATTGCCTACACTTGAGAGCAGACATAAATAAATCTGTAGCCAGAACCACATAAATTTAAATTAGATATAAATCCAGCCCAGTGATTAAACGTGGACCAGGCAAATATTTATAGAATGTGTAGCTAAACGATTCGCATTTTTAGAAGAAATCTAAAAATAATATCGACTATTTATAAAATACCCTATAGCATTCCTACGTGTTGAGTATGATGAAAACATTTCCTGCTATGTGACAGCCCGGAAGAGACGAAATTCACTCAGGTGGGCATTAGATTCGTGAGCATAGAATAAAATTTGATGTAGATGTTTAGTTTATTTTAAATAATTATAGTTAATAAAATAATCATTTGTATACCCTCTTATAGGGTATTATAATTTTATCACGAAATGGAACGTATAGAAGGATACATCTCCGACTCCATAAAGTGTGTAAATATTCTAGACCTGCATTAATAGCTGTATCGATATAGTCCGACAGTCCATCTGCCTGTTCTTTTGTTTACAAGCTGTCATCTTGAAACTTTGCATAGGTTCGTCTTTCTGTTGCTGGCAGTAAATATATCGCTGCCAGACGGATCGGTCTACTACATATTATATAGCTGCTATAGAAACGATCGGTCGAAAAGTAGGTTCTTGTATGGACAAACATTTTTGTTTATTTTGTGTTGTTTTATTTCATTTTATTATTATATCATTAAAATTGTTTTTATTATTAATTCTAAATATGTTTAAAATTGCGCATGGGCGAAAAAATGGATAGTTTGCGACTCTATATATATGTAGATGTAAAGATATATCATGCCTCCCGCTTTTATTCTCGACAATGTGTAGTATATATATATATATATATATATATATATATATATATATATATATATATATATATATATATATATATATATATATATATATATCGACATGAAAATATATTGACCACTCCACATTGTAAATTTTTATAAATACATAGAAGTTAGATATCCTTAGCCCTAATCAAATGCAAAATAATATCACTAACATCTAAGATTATCTAGATTACCTTTAGTATAACTTTACCTCTTCTCAGTTATTTCATATTTCTTTTTAATACAAGTATATTTTCAGATCATCTGCATATTTATATTTTAGATATCACAACTAAGATATCGCAGCTATCGGATTATTAAGGATAAATATGTATATTACAGCAAGGCCTCGTCCTTGTTGCAGAGAGGTTTCTCTACCCAAGCTCGCTTGTCTCGAGCATTTCACCCTTACTATTTATTTACTTGGTTTATTTTTAGTTAAACCTAACTCATATAATGCCACCCAGCACCCCCGTTTACAGGCAATGCTCTTGTAGTGGTAAGCCCCAAATAACAAGCCCTCTAGCTGGATATCATTACATTGTTTCTACTGAAGCTTGCAACAAGCCCCTCAACTGCAGCGCTTGTAGCAAGTGGCACTACAAGTGCAACAAGCCTCATGGCAACCCCCTTTCTGTTTATCCAGTTTTGAAAGCTGAAACGCCAATACCAAATACCAATTACCGCCAAATTCCCATCACTTTAGCCATTTACATGCACGGCGCTTGAAAATTCGAGTCCGATTTGTGTTCTCCTCTCTGTGTGTAGGAAAGTGCAGGGTATGCTCCGTTGAAAATCGCATAATGCCTACGAGTACATTCCCATTACGGCTGCATATTTGGCCAGCTGATTTTAGGCGCTAACAAAATAGGGCAACGTTGCTTTTAACGGGATTGCAGGTGTTGGGCCAATGCATCCCTAGAACTTGCCAGACTTGCCACACGCACTCGACACCCAGCTTGGTTATGTTGAAGATGCTTCAAATTTAATTTAATTGGCAGTAAGTAAGTAAACTATAGCTACCCTGCAGCATATACAAAATGCATTACATTTTTTTACAGCATTTCTATTAATATAACAAATTTGCTTACGACTAACAAATTAAATTTGAATGATGATTTATGATCAACTTGTAGATACCCTGTAATGTGCCCAATCACCTTAAGATAATTGAACAAGTTATCTATCGATCAAACGAAAATGTTTCGTTGCGTAATGCTCGACCCAGAGATACCCCTTAATAAGCATTAACATTCATAGACCCTTAGAACAACTGTTATATATATTTACCAAGACTTTCCAGATTTATTTTCCTGAGCAAATTTTATATTTACCTAACTGACAATTATAGAACTCGCCTAATAGATACCCTGTTCTAAAACACGAAGTACCATATCTTCCTCATTTAACCAATTTTGCCAAGCCCAGCTTGTAAGTTATACAACCCCTTACTGTAGTTATCTTACGTTCGCTGTGTATATTTGCATTAGTTAAATGAAGCATTTGACTTTGTCTAAATTTCGATATCAACATAAACAACTGTCAATTAAAAGCTCGCAATTCTGATCCCAGCAAGCTGATTATAACTTTTTTAAAATTCACAAAACTCGTGCAACATTTTAGATTTCGTTTTGCATTTAAGTTTGAGGCAACAGCATTGCGGCTGCCTCTGACCGCAGCATACAGAAAACAACACCATAAAAAAAAAAAAAAAAAATAACATTCCCCTCTCAACAATCAAATTGGAGGAGCGAGCAGAGACAATTAAACCGCGTCCCAACTGAGTATAAATCCAGCCCGTAGTTGAGGTGACAATAAAAACTAAACATGTTGCGAGTTGGTATTTAGTTTATGCAGGAATTGTGTAGAGACGGGTCGGGACTGGGGTTGGGCTTGTGGTTCTGTTTCCATCCGCACACTATAGTTAGTACGTGGCTGGGGCTTAGTCGAGACTTTTATGCTAACCCATGTTGATAATATCAAAGTAGTCTGGGCAGATTAAAGCCAACGCCGCAAGCGGCGTGCTCGTTATCGTAACTATGTAAGCCAATAGATAATACTCGTAGCTTGTACAGACATTTAGGAGTAGGCGGCAAGCATTAAAGAAATTAATAGAATAAAACAAGAGCAACGCTTTAGATATAGAAACAAAAAAAGATTACAATTTAGCTGCTTTTACAGCCAAAACTAAAAGATATGTTAAGCGCTTAAAAATATTTCTTTAATTCGTTTATTTTAACCAAGCAGTGCATAGCTGTGGAATCCATTTAACAGGCTTAACAGCGAGTTTTGGTACAAGACGTTGAAGAGCAAGCAGTGCCCCTTCCAGTATAACAAATTCGAAAATTGCATATTTTCTTTGCTATAATCAAAATCTTATACGCAAATTATCATACTCTTATATAAACTGTTATACAGGCGAAATATATCTAAATTCGCACAATTTCAACTGATATAACAGACTGTTATACGAGAGCATTAATACTTTTATATTTATAAATAATGTGCTAAAATCAAACTGTTCTACTTTTATTATCCTTGCAAAAGCTAGTTTTACAACCATATAACAACCCTTAGTTCAAGCGTTACAAAAAAATACTTTTATACGTGAACAACACAGTTGAAATCATAGACTAGCATTTTCACAATCCTTCGTTAAATTATAATAGTTTGCTATCCTTTACAACATTGTCAGCTATTTTAAAAAAACTGGTATTCAAATAGTGGGAACAACTACTCTTAATATAAACTGTTGTATACTAACTGTTTAACTTGCACCTTCCCACATAAACTGTTCTACACAAGCTGTCAAATTTTTCATCCACCCAAAAAGTAAGTCAACTTTTGCTGAAACATTTCTATACAAGTGATATATAAGTTAGCAAATTTTCAACCCCAAGCATCAATCTGTACTACAAACGCAAATATATTTCAACAATTCTTAGTAAATATTTATATGCAAATCAAAATTCTCGAGCTTATTTAACAGCCCCCACCCAAGTGCCAGCAAAGCTTACTTTTCAAAACTTTGGTTGATGAATCCAATATTCCGACTGTTGGCCGAAAGAACGGGTACAGGACTTGGAATGCTGTAAACCGGATATAAGGGCGCAAATTCGTTGACTCCGAACGCATAAAGCTCCTCCTCGTTAATGTTGCCGTGCAGCGTGTGCTTTGACTCCTCGAACGTGGGCAGACCTTTCGAAAGAAGTAATGCTATCAGAAGATATGCTGATTGGCGGATGTTCTGGAAGAGCTTACCTATATCTGGAGAGTTGAGCTGGTTTGCCAGCGCTGTAACCACGGGCAGCTCATCCGCCGGCGACTCGTAGCGTTCGCTGCGCCTGGGTGGCTGCTGCTGCACCACATCCGAGGCGGATGAGCTGTTGCCCAGCGGCCAGGTGCCTATGGTTATGGGCATGGTGATCATCTGATGTTCCCGCAGGCTCTTAATCAGCGCCTCCACCTCTAGCTGATAGGCAATTTGTATTAGTTTGCACACATCGAGACAGGTTGGCGGCGTGCTGGGCACCACCATGTCCAGGGTCAGGGAACGCGTGCTGCGTCGCAGCACGGAGTCACCTTTGGCCTTGCCAATCACAATGCGATCCACGCGAGAGTGCTCCGGCGTAACACTAAAGTAACGGACCAGCATGACCAGCGAGAGACGCACCTCAGAGACGGCAACATTGCTATTGTTGATCAGCAGCACGGTGACAGGTATACGCTGGCCGGGCACATAGCCCGCCTGAGGCAGATGCAGTTCCATTTTGATCGGCGCTGTTTTGCAGGGACCGCAGCAGAAGGTCCTGTAGTTCTCACTGTGCGCTGGTAACTGAGGAGTGAGAGAGCGAAATAAAACAGTTTTATTAGAGACTTTTATAACAGTGAAAACTCACCCTCAGCTGTGGCGTTTCACAGTTCAGATCCAACATTTTCAGCACAGTAATGCCATGCGTATAGGCCTGATTATATTTCCAGGGCCGGATCAGCAATATCTTGACTATATAGCGCACGCAGCCATAGCGACCCTCAAACGATGAGGGACACTGATACGGCAGCTGGCAGGCAAAATTATAGTTGTGCACACCCGCCTGTATAATGTGTCTGTCATTGGCTAGAAGGGTGAAGAGGTAGATGTAAATACGGCTTTGAATGATTGACTGCCTGACTGACTGATTGATGAAGTAATTGGCAGACTAACTGATTGACTGACAGACTGACTGATTGATTGACTGCCTGATTGGCTGATTGACTGACTGATTGATTGACTGACTGTTGGACTGATAGACCGACTGACTGAATGAATGACTGACCGACCGATTAACTGATTGATTAATTGACTAATTAAACAATTGACTTATTGACTGATTGACTGACTAATTGATTAATGATCAACACTGCTAAAAGTGATGCTGTATTTCCTTTTCTTTTGTTGAAAAGTGGTGAATTGCCGGCCACAAGGGTGGAAAATTTATTTTATTTACTAATTTTTTAAATTGTTTTTATTTAATTATGTGCAAACTGATTTCTACATTAAAAATTGATAAGCATGTATGTTAAATGAACGAAATCCACTTGAAATATTTTAGAACAACTTTTGATGGATTCTTACAAAATCGGTTTATAATAGAACCGACTTTTAAATCTAATACTTACATTGCTCCGAGCCTACGAGATATGTCTGTGATGCTAGATATTCCTCTCGACCGGCGAATAGTTTTGTTGTTGCCAGACGTCTTTCGCTCCATTTGGTTATAGAGTAGCCCACGACTTTAACAAGCGCAGCTGTCAAGAAGATAAATATGATATATGATATAATGCAATGATATAAACCCTGCGAACAGGCAGGTGATAAGCCGCCCGCAAAGCCAAACACGGGCTAGATAATTTGTCTTCTCCCCGTTCCGCCATAATAAATTGACTTATTTAAAGGCGCTCTAATTGGTTAATAGCCCCAATTAAATATGAATTCTGATAAGCATTTCGAAATTTTTTTTAGTTGGGCTTAAAAGTTAATCGGGAAAGACTTTCAACACGATATCTAACGTTAACGTTAGCCAAATTTTATAATAGAGTTCTACAATTGTACTTAACGTATATTTCTCCAAGGCAATTTTAATTTAATACCTCATGCTTATTTATATACAACTCTTATCGCTCGACTCTTCGCATTCCACAAAAATAAAACAAAAACAAGTAAGAGGTTCTAGTCGGGAGCTCCCGACTAGGGGATACCCTGAACCCTCTTCTTCCAACATCAAATGCATATATATTCTATTTTAGAAGCTATATGTCAAGTTTGGTGACTCTAGCTCTTATTATTTACCAAAATTGCCCAAAAACAGGATATCGATATCGATTTTTATCGATTGCTTAAAAACGGAGTAAGTTATCGATTATCGGAAACAAACTCGATCTGCGCGGGAACTGGGAGCATCTACATCTAAAATTTTAAGTCTCTAGCTCTTATAGGCTCTGAGATCCTTGCGTTCGTACATACGGACGGACCGACGGACAGGCAGACGGACATGGCTAGATCGACTCGGCTATTGGTGCTGATCAAGAATATATATACTTTATGGGGTCGGAGATGCTTCCTTCTGCGTGTTACATACATTTGGATTTTGGACAAATACAATATACCCTTATACCCATTTTTAATGGGTTCAGGGTATAAAAAGAATATGATTGGAATCAATGTCGTCAGTAACATTTATATATATATATTCATTTAGTCTATCAGCTATCATTATCGCCGGAGTATTTATAATGCCAAAAATTTGCAGGCATTTAAATTCCCAATGCGTAAAACTCGACACTCACAACTCTGGTCGCATCAATTATATATATGGGATATAGTACCTTGAACCTCCTTGATTTTATCCGATTTAAGGGTTACGCAGCCGCTCACAAGCTGCCCGGCGTAGAAGGTGCCATGTCTGTTATTATCGAAGCTGAACTCACACGTAACAACCATTTCGCTGGCCGTAAGACCCGCACTATACGAAAGATCCTAAAATTCCCGAACCGAAATGCTTATGAGTCCGGGGGCAACGCATTTGGGCTGGCCAACGAACGGCGACTAAATAAAGTCGGACTCTTTAGTTGTTCAAGTTGAATTAGATAAGCGATAAGACCGGAAAGCGTTAGTTACTGCGAGCAAGTACATATCGTATGAGAGCAACGAAATGGAATTGGAAACACAATTTATAAGAGTCGAGTAATGCCCCAAAGTTTCAGTCAAGTTATCACAAGTGGACAGACCTTGACAGTGGTCGCATGTTTATGCTGGAGGTCTGATAAGGGCGAATGCTCCTAGGAAACAGGGGTAGGGAAGTGGAATTTTTATACCCTGAACCCATTAAAAATGGGTATAAGGGTATATTGTATTTGTGCAAAATCCAAATGTATGTAACAGGCAGAAGGAAGCTTCTCCGACCCCATAAAGTATATACATTCTTGATCAGCACCAATAGCCGAGTCAATCTAGCCACGCCCGTCTGTCTGTCCGTCCGTCCGTCCGTATGTCCGTCCGTCCGTCCGTATGTATGAGCTGGAGACTTGAAATTAGATGTACATGCTCCTAGTTCACGCGCATATCGAGTTTGTTTCCGATAATCGAAAACTCCGTTTCCAAGCAATCGATAAAAATCTATATCGATATCCTGTTTTTGGGCCATTTTGGTAAATAATAAGAGCTAGAGTCACCAAACTTGACATATAGCTTCTAAAATAGAATATATATGCATTTGATGTTGGAAGAAGAGGGTTCAGGGTATCCCCTAGTCGGGAGATCCCGACTAGACCCTCTTACTTGTTTACTTTATGCTGTAGCTGATGGTACTGATTAAATCATTTTCTCCATCTTAACTAATGTGTTCAGACGAGCTAAAACAATACTCAAGACTTGGTTCGAGTTAACATAATTATCATTTCCATATTTATATCTTTAGCGGAAGTCACAGACATTCTAAAGAGCATTTGTTTCTAATCTTACAATTTTTTAATCTAAAGAGCATTTGTTATTAATCTTAAAATTTTGAATTTTTTTTTTTCTTAATTAAGAAGTAACTTTTGTTGTATACTAGATGAGACATATTATATTGGGCTGAAAATATATAAATATAAAATAGTAATAAAATACTTTTAATATTTATGTAAGGATTCAATTTGGTCTTTATCATTCAGTTTGTATACTAAATATTACCTACGTCCTGTAAAAGATTAAGCATTTCAAATACGTCTATTATCCAGTACAGTATCATATTTACTATTGTGAAATGCTTTAAACAACAATAACTTTTCTTTAGCTATATAAAACTTATTCGCTTTGGATTCTTTTTAAACTTCAAATATATTTTTCTCTTTGCTTTCCCTTTTCCATACCAAATATTAATTTTCCATCCTTTCCGAATTATATTTCAGATGCTCTCATATGTGCATTCCTTTTAAAGTTCATTTTTTTCTCTTCCGAAACAATTGAGAGATTTTCCAGTTTTAATTTACTTGAACTTTCAGTAAACAAATTATGTTTCTTGCAAATGTCAATTTCTGTATATTTTCTTTTTATTTTATGCACATTTTATTCCTGACTAAAGACTAGATTGTGCTTAGATTATAGATAATAGCCTGTATATGGTGTATATCCTTTGTGTATCTATTCACAGCCATGTGCCGCCCTTGTTAGCGTTCATATCAGCATTGGGAAATCCATTTTGATCCGTACTAGCCATGGGCGCTGTGGGACTTGGTATATTAAATATGGGGTAAAGTGGTGCGAAGCCATGCTCATCCAGACTTAATGTATTCGGTGGTGCAGTGGGCTCCATATTATTAATTTTGTCGAACTCTGCGCGCATATGAAGAGCCTCCTCGTAATTGGGCGGTGCTAAAGATTGGCAAATGATCATATCAGAGAATATGGTTAAAATCAATCAAAGACTTACGAATGCTGCCATCCACGGACCAAGGCGCAATGGCATCAGCAGGTGGTGCACTGGCTGGCGCCAAAGCCTTAGCATCCAGGGCTTGTGGTGGTTGGCTCTCAAGGCCACGTGGTTGCATGTGGGCGTGCTCCGAGAGGGGCACGCTGCCTAGGGTGATGGGTATAGTGATTACCTCGTTGCGATGGCAGCCCTTGAACCTGGCCTCCACCTCCACCTGGTAGGCAATCTGTATGATCTTGCACAGATTGAAGCAGGTGGGCGCCGTGGCTGGCACACGCAGCCAGTAGGTGAACTGTTTCTTGCAGTGATGCGGCACGGGATCACCCATCATCTTGGTCACGAGTATACGCTCGTTTCGCGAATGCGTGGTGCTCAATTGCTGGGCGTAGTAGGTAACCATCATGGCCAGGTTCACCTGCAGCAGCTCCACGGGTATATGGCTCTCGTTGGTGACCAGCATGCCCACCTGTATGGTCTGGCCGCACACGAAACCCGTTTGCAGCAGCGACAGTTGCAGCTGCAGGGGCGCCGATTTGCACGGCCAGCAGCAATAGGTCTTCTGGGTTTCCACTTGTGCGGGCATCTATAATATAAAATTTAAATTATATAGACCCTGTTGCGACACCTGTAACTCCACACTCACCCTTAGGAGCGGACTGTCATAGTTCAGGTCCATAATTTTGAGCACCGTAAAGCAGCGCGTGTAGAAATTATCAAATTTCCAGGGTCTGACCAGTGCCACCTTCGTCATATAGCGCACTCGGCCGTAGTGGCCCTCGATGGAGGAGGGGCAGGTCGCGGGTATTTGACAGGCAAAGTTATAGGTATGTACGCCAGGCTCAAGAGAAACTTGTGCTGCAAGAGTTATTTTTCATATTGGAATGAATAATTTTGGGCATAATCTAAATTACTTACTGCTTTGGCTCGAGCCTGCCAGATAGGTTTGGGAGGCTATATAGTCTTCGCGGGCGCTATATGTATCCGAGGACTTATTCTTGCCAGTGCCACGCGATTCCGTCCAATGGGTTTCGGCAAATCCACTTATGTTAAATGTTACAGCTATATTGGAACAGTATAAAAATGAATTTAGTGTATAGATAAAAAATATACATGCATAAGTCGATGTACAAAAAATTAATATAAAATATATAAAATGTATAAAAATAACATGATAGATGCTTGTTAAATTTACGTTTAAGGAATCAAACTCTATTATTTTTACATTTTTCAACACTTCCTCCTTTTACAATACAGTTTCTAATAAAATGCACAAAACTATGCAACACACTGTGCAAAAGGAATGTGTGAGAAGGAAGTAGTTCTTAATGCAAGCTTTCGCCTAGGCGAATACATAATATAGCACAACTTTCATTTTATATGAACTGCCTTAATTAATGCACGATAAATAAGAGTAAAAGACACAGAAGATATACACAACACGACAGCTAATAATGCTGCGGGAAAGAGAAGCCGCATTTGAAGAAGAAATTAGCGAAAAACTTCCTGTTGATCGCATAAACAAAGCTTTTTAGCTAAATGTAAACGCTGCAAAGCGCAAACGAGACAAAACGTCGCCCTCTCCTTTTCACCGCAGCAGCCCGGCAAACATGATGAATCTGCGCGTGCTGAAATTCGTCTGGCACCTTTCTGTGGCCAGTTCAGTTAATTGCACCTGCGCTACATGGATACAAATATTATAAACTCAGAAGCAACCGAATTCTGTTCAAAAAAAAGCTGTCCATATTGTTCTTCCTTTGTGTTTTCGCAAAATCTTATATGTTTTACTTGCAATCTGTTGGTTGTGACGTCAGAGCGCCACACACATGAAATTGTGGGCATCACCTAGTTGAATATAAACACGCTGAACAATAAGTTCAGTATATGAATTCTGTAGGTACATATTGAATATAATAAACATCAACAAAATACATACATTTTTAAAGATAAACAAATCATGCAAAATATTCAGTTTACAAAAGTTCTTCTCTTACTCAGCTGTAAAGCTTTAATAGTTTTTTCTATGTTTTTCAATAAATTTTAATGAGCTGTCAGCAAAATTTAGACGGAACGTCCATTAAATCATCTCATATTTGGACTGCAAGCTTGTAAAAATTTATAATACAAATAGCAACAGCAACTATACCATTTTGTATATAAATATAGTTCTTTAAATTAAATTTAAATTGAAGAAAATATAATATAGGAACTGCATCTAAAGCGGAATAAAAATATATTTTTAAATTATTTAAATGACCTGAAAATGTGCTTTACAAAACGAAAGACTCGATTCCAGAATTCACATATTTAAAAAGCTTAAAATCTTAAGAACTATTTATGATTATACTGATAAGAATGATAATTTGTAAGCTCCCTATAATGAAAATGATAATAAATGGCTTGTCAACAAACTGTTTAATATCATCAGCTACCAAATTTAGCGCGTGCCTTGGAGAAAAAAGCGAATGAATCATTTTCTATTGCCTCAGGTCTATCCTACACATTTTACAATTCGCACATTAACTTTGCACAACTCTTCACCTGGCTGCCGATAAGATAAGAATGAGTCATGGGGAAGAACATTTGATGTTTAAAGAGTTTTATTTTAATTTTTAAATATTGCTCTAAACACTTAGTATATTTAACGCCGGGCTCTTACCTTTGACCAGTTTTGGCTTATCCAATTTTAAAGTCACTTTTCCCGTGACCACTTGACCCGCAAAGAAGGTGCCATGGGGATTGTTATCAAAATCAATTATGCAGGTAACACCCATTATATGTTATTACAGCACGCCAATATATATGCGTATATATGCACTTATCTGGCCAATAATTATTGGTGTAAGTATTTATTGTTGCGCGCAGCCGATTCGCCGCGATTCGCACTTGTCGCTATCGGAATCCAAAACACGACTGATTTGATTGTAATTAAAAACCAAGCGGTTCGCTATTTACTTCTCACATAACGACAACAAGTTTGGCTAGTACTGCGACAGTCCAAACATTCCCATTCGGTCGTTTGAAACGAACTGAGAGTGAAACAAACTTTTCTGTTTCCTTTCTGTTTTTTTTTGCTTTGGCTGTTTAGCGGGGCCAATGGGCCATTTTTATCTTATCGCCGTGTCAATTATGTCCAAGTGCAATGCACACATCACTAAATGGAGGGGGGGTTCATAATAAATTCGGGGTCTATGTAGATGCTTTGGCATTATGTTTGGGAATGCAAATATATACTTTCCGCTACAGGGGAATACCGGTTAATTTCAATTATATTTTTTATTTTAAAATTAAATTAATATTTTTTATATATTTACGTTTAAGATTTGTCTGAAGTGTTAAATTTGCGATTTTTCTGTTTGACCTACACTGAGTAAAAATGAAAGCAAATTAAAAAGATGAAAAAAAAAACTAATAAAAAAAGTATTTCAATCTTATTTTCAGATTCTATATGCATTTATTCAATTGTTCCGAAGGTAGGAATAAATGTAGAAAAATGTAGAAAATGTATATTTTGAAGATATGCTCATGTCTTTTTGATTGTTTCGATCGACTGATTGATTGATTTGAGTTTTGACATTTCTGCATTATTTTATCGAATTAAACTTAATACAAAAATTATTTGACCAAACTTTTGTTTTGTTTTCTAAGCCTGCTGCTGATATGCAGAAAATTTAAATCAATAAACATTGAAACTGGAAACTTGGAACTCGGCTAGAACATTTTTCGAGGTCATGCTTTTAGAAAGAATAAGCGATAAATAAATATAAATGACGTTTACTTAAAACTTATATAAAGAATAAGCCCAAACAAAATCATAAATATATAAAAATGACATTTTCTTAAAACTTAAATCTAAAACCGAGCTCACATTTTTGCCAAACATTTCGCTTAAGCAATTTTATTTACCATTCAGTAAGATTTCTTAAACAATTCTTTCGCATTCTCAGAACCAAGTGCTACGATCAATATCTTCGGCTCTATCGCCCTGCTTAGTCTCCGCCAGGTTGTTTATATGAAATACAGCATAGAGCGGGGTAAAGGCGCAATTTTCCTTGGTATGCGTGGTGGACGGGCTAAACTCTGTGTGCTTGGACTTTCGAGATGTGGCTGGCTTGGAGGATTTTATTGGACCCTCGCGTATGTGCAGGGCCTCTGCATAGCTGGGTGGAGCTGGTAAAAGAAAACAAGGGATTCAGAAAACTTTTAAGTATATCTACGATATGCCAGACTCACCTATCGTAGCGTCTGCAGCCCAAGGATTGACGGCAGCTGCAGGCGCCGCAGCTGACACATCATCCACCAGCACCAAAGCCTTCTCGTCCAGCTGCTGTGCCACAACCTCGACTTCAACAGGAATGGGGCGTGGCTGTTGTGTCAGCTGCCTAGTCAAGGGCACATTGCCTATCGTGACGGGCATGTGGACACGCTCGTTGATGTGCCAGCTCTTGACTTTGGTCTCCACCGCCACCTGGTAAGCGATCTGTATGATGCGGCATAAATCAAAGCAGGTGGGGGGCGTTGCCGGCACCAGCAGGTCAAAGGTGAACTGCTTCTTGCAATTTCTCGTGACGCCCTCGCCTTGCTGTTTGCTGACCACAAATCTCTCGCTGATCGTCTTTACACTGTGCTGACTGTAGTAAAGCACCATCATCACCAGGCTGGCCTCGATCTCCTCCACGCGTATGTGACTGTCATTGGTAACCAGCACGCCCACCGGTATCTTCTGGCCGGGCACGAATCCTCGCTGGGGCAGCGATAATTGCAGCCGAATCGGTTCGGAGCGGCAGGGCCAGCAGTTATAGGTCTTCTGATCCTCCGAAAGAGCGGGTGTCTAATAAAAAATATATTTGAATAAATTGTGTATAAAATAGACACTTTTCAACTCACGCTTAAGAAAAGGCCTTCCCTATTGAGATCCATTACTTTGAGCACGGTAAAGGATCGTGAGAAGGTCTGATCAAATTTCCAGGGTCTGATCAGTTTGACATTTACCATATAGCGCACACGTCCATGGGTGCCTTCAAAGGAGGAGGGGCACACAGTGGGTATTTGACAGGCAAATTTATAAACACGGCTGCCAGGTTCAAGAGCGACGTCTACGATACATAGAAAGTGAAGAGGAAATAGTAGAGATCTAGATATTTGAGCTCTTACTCTTTCCTTCAGCAGCTAGTAGTTCCACCTTGGATCGAATATAGTCCTCGTGTCCACTGTAAATCTCTTCTGTGGTCTTGTTATCCAAATCGGATTCATCTTCTGACCAACATGTGCTAGCAAAGCCTTTTATCTTTAATATTATAGCTGGCATGAACAGTAAATATTTTGTATAGATTATTATTATAATATATTATATATTTGCTGAAAGATTAAAGAACATAGGCACATGATTATGTTTGAAGAATATATATTGCTGGTTATCATAAGGAAGTAAAATTTCTTTTAAGTTATCATCATTATTTTTCAGGAACATGTGTCATCTTTACAATAAGAAAAGTCTTAAGATAATATATTATTGATCATCTATTGAGAAATATTCTCTGGCAGTTTTTTGTCTATCATTCTTGATGTAACAAAAAGCCTATGTATCTAAAATTTGAGTATTAAAATAGATAGGAAAACTATTAATAGATAAACAAAAATAAATATGAATCATATATAAGCTTACAAGTCCACTAAAAGCTGCTTAGAATATATTAAAAAATGTATATTAAAAATGAAATTTATAACAACATCAGCTCATGCAATAACTTATTAACATATTATGCCTTACCTTTAACTAGCTTTTCTTTGTCCGCATTTAGGACTACACTTCCAAAAATGACTTGACCCGCATAGAAAACGCCAAATGGATTATCCTTAAAGTCAATTTCGCAGCTTACCACCATTTTTTTATTTTTTAATATTTTAATAAACAGTATTATACGTGTTTCGTAGATTGGCCGCGTTTCACTTAGCTGGCAAAAATCATACTGAATTTAAAAGAAAATAATTTTTTTTCTGTCGCCCAACCGGAATTGACAAGTTTTATCTTATCAATACAAAAATATTCGAATTATCTATTTATTTATAAAAACATAATGCAACATTTTATGTTACATGTGACAGCTGTAAAAGAAGTTCAAGAATAAATGTAGTTATCATAACGAAATGATAAATAAATATTATTATGTAAGAGTATTTTATTTGAGAAAACTTCGGTATAAAAGAAGCACATCACTTTACACATTATCTTCAATAATATATAAATTTTCTGTTTTATACAAATCGGTAAAAAGCTTCAGAATTTTGAGTCATGCATAAACTCTTGCTGACTTTAACGCACCCACGTCTGGGATTACAGAGAGTTTGTTATATACTCCAGATAAGATATCGCAGGGCACTTGTTACGTGCTCCAAATATCATGTTAGTAGCCAAAAACTAGATCAGTTACCGTTTAGCAGCGAGCGGGTTCGGAGCGCTCCAGTAGTTGGTCGCGATAGAAAAGCACAAATCGGAAATTTTGGCCCCGGGTGGACGCCACAAGAATGTCTAATAACTGCCTGATAACATTCGATCAAAACGAGCATGGCACATATTTTACGGGCCAGGTCGTGACCGGCAAGGTGATAGTTAATTTCAATAAGACCAAAAAACTACGAGGTATGTCAACTATGTTGGGCTCGCCAATAAGTAGCTGGCTTTACATTTATTTTGATTTTGCCTGATATACTAACTATTTTATGCTAGTTATAGTTAGTGTGCGGTTATCTGGCTATTATCTTATCTGTGTTTTTTATTTACTTCCCTTTGCTGTGTTCTCTGCTATTCCCTTTGTCAAGCCCATTATATTCGTAATTTAGTGATAAACCGAAATTGCCGGAGACACACGCAAAATTCACGATAATTAATGCACAACAAAACGCACAAAAATTGTTGTATTATTAAACAACAGACTCGGGGGGATCTACCTGGTGATAAGTAGTCAATAGCTGAGGAAATGCCAACATTTATTAGTCATTTTTACAGGTGCTTAAGATTCTTTTGAGAAATATAGAATATAAAAAAAAAATAATATAATAAAATTTTTAAAAACTCATTAATTTGTAGCTTAAAATATATAGTTTTGTTTTATATCAACTGGTAATTTGATAGAAAATGGTTTTTTTTTATGGATTAATAATTAATAAAAAATACATTTTTTAAAATTTTGTAAAATTAAAATTTAGCCACCCTTTAACTTTATGTATGTTATATATACTAACAATATATTTTTAACTCCTGTCAGGTATAAAACTACAAATCAGCGGCTATGCCTGTGCTCAATGGCGTCGAAAACATGGCCGAGCTTTGCCCACAAATCAATTCCGTCCCGGCCGCAAGCGGTTCTTTATGGGCCGGGAGGATTACATAGCCTCGACGACATATCTGATGGGCTCGGAGCAGGGTCAGACGTTCAATATTGATGCGGGCAGCTATACATACACTTTCGCCTGTCCCATACCAAGTCATTGTCCATCCTCCTTTGAGGGCATCTATGGGCATATACGCTACCTGGCCAAGGTGACGTTCATTCGACCGGGTGCCTCGAATCGCACTACCAATGTGGGTTTCACAGTGCTTAAGCTGCTCGATCTGAATCAGGAGAACAAATTGTTACGTGAACCGGCCAGCAGCGAGGGCATGGAATACTTTTGCTTCATGCACACCAAACCGGTCCATATGAAGGTGACGCTGCAGCAGCAGGGCTATGTGCCCGGCCAGTTTATGCTGATCCATGCCGATGTGCGTAACAATTCCAGCAGCGATTGCAAGAAGCTGATGATTATGATATATCTGCGCGCCACCTACACAGCCGACACGCCTGCCCTGCGCACCGTCTCCGAGAAGATCCTGCTGGCCAAGCGCGAGGGCGGACCAGTGCTCCACAATTGCCAGAAATCCTACACGGAATCGCTGCGCATACCGGCCACGGCGCCGACATGCGAGCACCTCAGCAAGGTAGTGCGTGTGTCGTACGAGGTGCGCATTGTGGCTGTGATGAACTGGCTTATGGCCAATCCCAAAGTCGTCATACCCATTACCATTGGCAATGTGCCTCTGGCTACCGTTGGGCCAGCCGCACCGTTTGGTATCGCGGCCGTGCCCCGGGATTTGCCGTGTACCTCGGCTAGGGCCATGGAATTGGCCTCGGGCATAAACAATCCCAGTTACGAACTAACCGAAGAGCTGGAGGATTACGAGCTTCCCGAGGATGGTGACGACGAGTTCGAGGTCGAGGAGGACCTGGTCCCTGAGCTGCGTAAGTCACCTAAAAGCGTGCCTAACCACACTTTTTTTAATCGCCATCCTTCCTCCGAACTTTTCTCAGCTCCGCCCACCTATGAACAGGCGATGTTTATGACCGCCGACATTGCGGATACGGATGCCAACACGGTCAGTGAGGCGTCTCGCTTTACGCCACGCTATCCCGTCTTCGATGTGGACACATTCCAGAGTCCGCCGCCTAATCCGCCACAGAAGAAGCGTCGTCGTCGCCGTCGCCGGGACGAACAACGTCCAGAGAAGAAGCAGTCGGCGGAGGCGCGGAACACAGAAATGGAACGAGAACCCGTAGAGTCGCCAATCCAGATTTGATTGCATATCAAATGCAATATCTTATCTTAACAGTATTTATATTAATCAACGCAAAATTGTGTTATACCCAAGCGAGATTGTTTGCAAAGTGTCTTAGGCAAGATATTTCGTAGATAAACAAACAATATAAAACCGTCTTCCGGCAAAAGTTCAAGTCATGCAAAAAAATACCTGTTTACTCTAATAAAAAAAATACAGATTACAAGAGCTCTTAATTATATACATAGAGTTCATAAGGTTAACTGCTTAAATATTCTATTGTTAATATTTATTTGTTATAATATATAACAGCTGTGAGCCTTATAATATGTGAACATTTTTAAATTAATCTGATTTTCTTATACCCAGCAAATTATACCCAGTATAAAATTGGTGTTTGGACTTTTGTAGCACAATATTTATATATGAGAATCTTTTAGTTTGCCAAACAGCTGTTTCCCAAATATTACATCATCTGTTTTTGTTTACATCAGAGTGTTCTTGAAAGCTACGCATATAACAACAAAATGTATAAAAAGTTCTTCTAATAACACAAGCAGCACCAAAGCTTTAAAGTGCTTACTCAGCAGCTCTCGTGTTCTCTCTGTTACTCTCATGCTTGTATACTCTTTCGAGTGTATATTAATGAGCTTTCGGTTCCGTTTTTGTTTTGACTCTCTCAACTGATGATGTCACATTTTGGCTCTCTCGCGCTCTCAAACATTTTATTTTCAGCGCAATAGAAATCTTCGACTTTTCATTTGTGTTTGGATTGTTCGGCGTGGCGGGTTTAACGCGGGCTAAACTTGCGTGCTTTGTTCGATTAGTAGTTGAAATTTCAGTGAAACATGTTTAATATAATATAATATTAGCTTTAAGATTCGTGGTATTTTTGCGTTAGGGTGTGTTTGTGCTGTGCCATAAAATTAATATTCGTATCTTAACCATGCCATCGAGTTGTGTTTTCGAATTCGATCGGCCCTGTCCGGTTTACTACAGCGGCGAAACAATTAATGGCCGCATTGTTTTAAAAACAACAAGCAACAAGTCCGTCAATGGTAAATCACTGTTCTTTCAACCTATTACGCGATACAGGCATTTGAACTATTAAATATGAATTAAATTTTACTGCATTAAATATAATATTAATTTTATATATAAATGTATGTGTGCATACTTCTGTTATTATTATAAGAAGGTAATTTGTATAAACATTCATTTAAATTGTTGATAAAAACGCACACCCCCCCAAAAAAAAAAACAAAAAACAAGAGCAATAAAAAGGTTATTTGAGAATCGAATTTCAAATTGTGATATTTTAAACCGGCTTTCAACTACAGTGATTCTATTTAAATAGGAAACAAAATGAGTTCTAATAGCTGGAATGTAAAGCTCTGCCCGGCTATAATATCAAACCAAAGTAACTGTTATTTTAGGGGAAGTGCAGCTTCTATGGGGATTTCAAGATCTCCTGGACACTAATCTACAAAAGCGCCGTCCTATCAAAGCGCTTACAAGAAGAACATTTGTGCGAATGCTCTAAAAAAGCAAAAACCAACCAAGTCCCACCCCTCCCAGGTTCACCACCTGACAGAACTACACGTGTTAATAATATACGCAACAAAAAGAAAACTAAAACATTCAATACTAATTTACACAAATTCTTCGAAACCTAGCTCTAAAAAGCCTTTGCGAGCTGTTTGATAAATTAATATAATTAAAAAAAAGTAATTAATAAAAGCAATTTTTTTCTCATTAGCTGCAACGTTATCAAAGTTTTAAACAGCTCGTCACCACTGTGCGTCACGTATTTAATACAAAAAAAAAAAAAAAACAGTGCAGCCGGCAAAACGGCGACACAAAGCGCAACTGGCAAAAAAGCAAAGCTCAACAGTTTTACACGGAAAGCTCTCCCATGTTTTACGTTTGGCATTTGTTTTGTTTTCTTATCTCCAACAGCCGTCTTCATCTTGTTCGCGGGTGAGGCGAAGGTGCGTTGGGAGGAGCGGCGCACGCGCACCGTTAACGGTAAAACTGAAACGTATACGGAATATTATCGTGGCTCGGAAAAGTATTTGAATACACGCACAAATGTCTTTGGGGAGGGCGATTTGCCTGCAGGCACCCACACCTACACATTCTGCATACCCCTGCCGCTGGAATGCCCGACGTCATGTGTGGAGAAGTACGGCAAGATCGCGTATGAAGTGTCACTCGTATTGGATCGTTCCTGGCGCTTCAACAACGAGTTCAAACAGCCGCTGACCGTGCTGCAGACCTACAATCTGAACATGTATCCGGAGATGCTGGTGAGTGTCTTGGCTAATCCATACGAAATGCCTTTAACCTGGCCGTGCGATAATTCACAGATCCCCATTAAGAGCGAAGACATCAAGTACTTTTGCTGCTGGCCCTGTTCCTCGGGTCCCGTTATCTCGACTCTGACGATACCCTTTGGCGGCTATGCGCCGGGCCAGAGAATTAACTATACCCTGCAGATAGATAACCAGTCGCATGGCTACGATCTGCACGGCATTGAAATCTCCTTAATACAGATATACGAGTTCCGAGCTAGTGTACCCATGCATAAATCACGTACACACAAGAATACTCTCTGCCAGGAGTACCAGCCGGAGCATGTGCGGCGCTTATCCAAGCGCTTGATCAATGCCAGCCTGGTTATACCACCCGTGGCGCCCTCATCACGGATCAATCACATCATAAACGTATCCTACCAAATCAAGATGGCCATCAGGACTGGAGATTGCCATTCGAACTCGGAAATCGATACGCCCATCATAGTTGGCACCATACCACTGGCACAAAGTGCCCAGGATCCCAGCCACGTGGCCGAGTGGATACCCGAAACGCCGGATACGCCAGCGGGTGCATCAGCCGACATGCCACCGAGCTATGACACGTGCAGTGAGTGCCTCGATTATAATTCATCAAAGTCTTGGAACCTCAAAAAAACTGCTTCTCATCTCATTCGCAGAGCCGCCTTCGTTCGAGGAAGCTACGCATATTGGTGAAAGATTCGTGGATACGGACGTGAATGAGCACAATCGCACCGACGATTTCGTACCACGCTATCCCATGTACACAAACTTTGCCACGCCTACGGCGCCGCCTGTGGAAACCGCAAGTGTGCCGCTGATGTCACTGCCACATGATCCCAGTGCACCACCTCGAGATTAGACAACCTCAAAGATTATAATATTATGTTTCAATACCTTATAAGCCTTGTATCAAGTTTATACTTTTTTAAGAACAGCATTATTTTATACGTTCTTTAATTAAAAGTAAATGAATATGCTTATTGTAAATTCTTTTGAATATATACTGTATATATAGCTATTCATTTGGCCAAAAGCCTCACAATAAAGCCTACAAATCTGGCTAATCTAGCTGTCTTCCTAACATATACCACATTATGATATACCCTAGCATGGGCTTTGAACATGTATAGTTTTCATACATATATAGTTCCGTGATATACAAAGTTTAATCAAAATGTTTTGGTTCAAAGTATAAGAGATTTGAAGTAGACACAGCCCCACAATATAACAAGATTTGGCGCAGATCAAATTTATAAATTTATATTTTTGTATTTATATTAATTTATTTATATTTTTGTTATTTATATTCTTCAATAAATTAAAATAGGTAAGTTGCAATATTTTTAGTAGAACGAAAGATTGTTAATGTAAAATAGGTTTGTAGCATTTTAAATGTAGAAATTATGTGGCACAACAAAGATGTGAAGGATTTACAAAGGAGAATTCTCTAACTGAATCAAAGGACTGAAAGCTGGTGGACGAACTATCGAACTATTTTGATTTTGCCAAATAAATCTCGGGTTTTACTTAGAAGAAAGCAAGAATATAACATTATTTAAAATATTCAGTTTGCTGATTCGAGATCAAAGCTCTAATTTACTGAAATCTGAAACTAAGCAATCTTGTTTTAATATATTTAACGAACTATAGAACTCTTTTCCCAAATATATTTCGAGCTCTACTTAGAAGAAATAAGTTATTATTTAAATATATATAGCTTATACACAAAATATTTAGTGCGCTGACTCGAGGTGCGATCTTTAACTTATTAAAATAAAAAGTTAAACAATTTCGTTTTTATATGATTTCTGTACGATATATAATATATAATTTTATTGTGTTCTTTTAATATTTCTAATTTTATATTAAGAAACATTTCGAGAATCAAATCAGACGCACGGCGCCAAGCTACCCTCCAAAAGGCAAGAACTCTATTAAATTGAATAAAGTAAAATTACATGTATTGACAAAAAAAAAAAACAAAATACAGGTACGTTTATAAATAGAATAATATTACATAAATATATTTGCATGCTCTTTAGAGCACTTTTTCGGTTTCAGCATGATCCATTTCGTAGTACAGATACCGTGGTCTGAAATCAATCTGTTCCCCGGACATGGCGTGTTTATCCCTGTTCAGATTGGTGGCCACCATGAATTCGGCTTCACGGAACTTGGAAGCTACAAAAAAAATACAAATTAATACATTTTATTTAAGAACAACTGCTGCTCAGCTCACCCAGAGAGCTCATGGAGGCGCTTAAATTGGGCGCAGCTGTGGCAAAGTTGCCAGCTTCGGGCGTTCGAGTGGATGCGCCGGCTACGCCCACTGCCTGTAGCTCGCCCAGAGAACGAGACGTGCCCGGATCCTGCTTAAGGCCCGCCTGCATGGTCGGCGTCTGGTAAATAATAATCGGCAGTTGGGCCGCAATAAAACGATCTGGAAGATTGGTCTGCACGAGGACTTCCACCTCGTAGCTGAGCTGTAGGCAGGCGCAGGCGGCGGCGCTCAGTGAGGGCGGGGTCTGTGGCACTTGCAACGTGTGCAAATGCTGAAAATTGAGCAGCTCGTTGCGTGGACAAGTGTTCAGCTGATGGCTGCTGCTGACTAGATAGCGACGTTCCACCTGGCTGGCCACATGCTTCGGCTTGTCCTGCTGCCAGCCGACATGCGTACTGACCAGATTCAGCTTGTAGATGATGGCCTTTAGGGGCAGCTGCTGCGCATTGTGCAGCCGCACGTGCACCGAGATGCCCATGCCCGGCTCGTAGCCAGTACGGGGAATGTCCAGCTGCAGTTGCAGCGGTCGCTGCCAGAACTTGAGCGAGGGTGTCTGCTCCAAGGCGGTAACCTCGCAGGGTGTCAGCAGCTGGCCTGGCTGCTGATTCAACTCACAGCGCTGCAGCAGCTGCAATCGGAGTGTCAAAGCCGGCTCCGGTGGCAGCTCCGCACTGCGTTGCAAGCTTAGCTGGAGCGTGTAGCGTATGTGTCCATGTGCGCCTTCATAGCTGCTGGGGCAGCTCTGCGGCAGCTGCACACTGAAATCGTATCTATAGGCGCCCGCTGCCATCAGCTGCGGCAGCGCTGCCTCCGAGCCAACAAAGTAATCCACCTTGGCAAAGTAATCCACACGCTGGCCAAAAGCAATGGGCGGCTTGAGCACCTGTGGCTTGCCCCTGGACTTTTGTTTTTTTTGCTTTTGCGGCTTCAGCCAGGAGCTGCACGCATAGCCATTCGATTCCAGGGCGATAGCTGTAAATTATATATACACATAAAAAATGCATTTGCTTATCTTTCAGATGGCTTTCGTTCAAATTGGTTTGATCAACGCATGATTCATGCCTTATCGCCTGGGCGCACGGCATGACTCACCTTTGATTAGTGCCCGCTCCGGCAGGGTTAAATAGATTTGACCGTTGACCGTCTCGCCGGCATAATAGACCCCACTGGGCCGCTCCAAGTGCAGGTCACAGATTTGGCTCATTGTGAAACAATTCTTTACCGGTTGACTGGCGCGCGCTGTCTGCCAAACTCTGGACAAATGTTTGGCCTATTAAGCGGGCCAGCGTTGCGGATCTTATCGGCATTCAACATGTTGGCCAAGTGTTATTTGTATGTTTATCTAATCGCCCATACGGGGTCTGTGGCCCTGCTGCGATTGCAAACGCAGAGCACTTACTTGTCATAAACAATTAGCAAATTTAATTAAATACGCGACCCGCCTGACGCGCGATAGTTGCCAGGCGTTGCATACATTCAGGCTAAGCTAAACAGACTAATAAATATAAATACATATTCAAACACACTGTACACACTATATATATTTGTAGCTATGGATGAAACAAATATATTTCCAAAAAATTATGTCTAACATTTTTGAAAAAATATTCCTAGAAATAACTGAAAAACTTGTTATTTCAACAGGTGCTTAGCTCGTAGAGTGCAAACCCTAACTTAAATGTGATTCCGTGTGAAATTCGTTTTTATACCCTGAGCCCATTAAAAATGGGTATAAGGGTATATTGTATTTGTGCAAAATCCAAATGTATGTAACAGGCAGAAGGAAGCATTTCCGACCCCATAAAGTATTTATATTCTTGATCAGCACCAATCGCCGAGTCGATCTAGCCATGTCCGTCTGTCTGTCCGTACGTCCGTCCGTTCGTCCGTCCGTCCGTATGTATGAACGCAAGGATCTCAGAACCTATAAGAGCTAGAGACTGTAGATGCTCCTAGTTCCCGCGCTGATCGAGTTTGTTTCCAATAATCGATAACTCACTCCGTTTCCAAGCAATCGATAAATCGATATCGATATCCTGTTTTTTGGGCAATTTTGGTAAATAATGAGAGTCACCAAAACTTTACATATAGCTTCTAAAATGGAATATATATATGCATTTGATGTTGGAAGAAGAGGGTTCAGGGTATCCCCTAGTCGGGAGCTCCCGACTAGAACCTCTTACTTGTTAATATTACATATTTACGGAAAATTAAACTCTTATAGGAAATATGGAAAATAGTTCTTGTAACTGGAAGTTGACGAGCGGAAGTTGCGAAGGAATTAGTTAATTTTCTAATTTTTGACAGTGAGTTTTGAAAGAAATATAGAAATCCTACAAATGTATATAAAAGTAGCATTTCTACTTTTTCGGCACTTATATTTAACAAATAATATTATATATTATAATTTAACAAAAAATTCGAAAAAAAAATTCTCTAAAAATGTACAGCACATATCAGACCTAGGGGACAAAAATTAGAATGTGAATATAATATATAACGTGAATCATGATTGTTTGAATTCTAAGTAAGGCAATCTAAATTTTATTATTTTGACATAATACGTTTTGGCAGAAAATGAAGAGCGCTTGGCATCATTTCTAAAATTGTGTTTTATGCTAACTCCTATATTGTCCAGCAATAATATATTAAGATTAGAGATATATTTAAAAAAATGCATTTTTCTCGAATAAAAATGTTAGAAAATTTTCAATTATATTTACGTTAAGATTAAATGAATAGTAAAATACTTATAAGTAAATATCAAAGATATTGGTCGTCGAAAGTTGCAAATTCGGAAATAAATTTCCTTTGTTTTCCAAATAAAGCACATCATAATAAGCTAATGTTAGATCTTGGCATTTGTGTTTGTATACGAATTTATTTTCCAATTATGAACACGTTAGTCTTAGCTTAAATACATTATGTAAAACTATATAGCCAAGTCATTTTTTTATATTATCGTATAATCGTAAATATGCATGTAAAAAGCCATGGAATAATATGCTAAAAAACTTTGTTGGCACATAATAAGTTCGCTTGGAATAAATTTGAATTTTGGATGGCAGTAAAGTATAGTTATATGAGCTATGAGCGCTTCCAATAAGACGGATAATGATACACTCGAAAAAATATTTCATTTATCTATCTCTGAACACTTAAGTCTAGTACAATCTTACGTAGTATACCACCAGGGTTTCTGCTTAAGACACTTGCATTTAGAATTGATGCTCCGCCTGTGTTTGCAGCGGCGCCGGCTGATGCACCTGGGCCGTGACATCGAGCACGGCCAGTAGCTCCTGCTGCTCCGACTCGCTCGGGTCGGAAATGGGGCCACATAGCGAGCCAAAGGTATCCAGGCTGCGACCCGTGTGATCCGTATCGAGTGAGCCATAGGAACGATAGTAATGCATATCCAGTCCGGAGTCCTCCAAGATCAAGTCATGCGCGGGCGCCGCGCCTATAAATGTGCTAAAGCCCGGAAATTTGGGCAGGTGTACACGCGGCTGACTCTCCAGCGTTGGCTGGCTGCCACCCAAGGTGGCAAAGCTAAAGGAAGGCGGCACTGCGGCAAGAGAAAATAAATGTACTGTGGCATGCAGCATATTCTTCAACTATACACTCACGGCAACTATCATACGAGGGTGGCTCATCATCCTCCACCACCTGATGCGTCTCATCAGCTGCCGCCTCAGTTTCTTGTGGCGTCTCCTCCTCCACCGTTGCGGGTCGCGGCTGCACCCGCTCAATCAGGCGCTGTCGCTCCGGCGTCGTAGTGCGTCGCGCCGGCTGCTGGGTGCGCACAGTGGCACGCAAATGCTGCAATGGCGTGGTGCCCACCACAATGGGAACAGACAAATCCGTATCGTAGTGAAAGTAGCCCGTCTTCAGCTTGACCTGCAGCGTATAGTGCAGGAATACTATGTAGTTGGGATTTAGTGTGGAACGGGCCGTATCCATGGGCACACAGATGCTCGACTCATACACCCTCTTGGACAGCCTCAAGGTGCGATCTGTGATGATATCCTTGCAGAGCGTTTTCGTGTAGAAGTTCCGTTTGACCGGCTTGCGCGAGAGGAACACAAAATGTTGCTTTATGGACACCTCAAGGCCAATAATATCATAGTGCGGCGATTGGTTGTCCACCTCCACGCTGAATGGCACCTCCTGCAGGGGCGTAAATCCAGATGCGGGCAGTGCCAAGCTGGAGCTAATTGGTCCGGAGATGCAGGGCCAGTGGCAGAGGTATTTAATGTTCTCATCCTTGACGGGAAGCTGTGGCAAGGAATCGAAAAATCCTTGTGAACAAAATATTGGATATTTTACAGGGCTTAATGCGCAATCTTTGAAATCATCGAATATGACATATAACATGTTCTGAGCCTCTAGACAAGTACAAATCCATATTACAAATATTTTCTTTGTCAGGTTCTCACGACGCTTTCTCGATTTAATTTTGGGGAAGATCTTTTTTTTAATTGCAGGTAGCTCAAAAGTGGAAAAGGGCTAACTTTGACGACAATGCCGTAAGGCTGGTAGATATCTTAACAATTTTATCAATTAACAATTTCAAACATTTTATGGAAAAAATATCGTTTAAAGGTACTCTTTTGAATTTCACTATATCTTCTCAATAAGTTGCCAAATCTTACTAATAGTCATTATTTCCCTGAGTATGCATCTGACATATAAGCAAAATCTTATCAAAATCGGACCGTATATCCTCTATTGTTCCAATGATTAATCGATAATCGTGCTGCACAAACGCCTTGTTCATATCTATAATAGTATTTAAACTTCGGCAACTATTCCTGTTTTCTTACAAATACTTTGTCATGTAAGCTCCATCGGAGCAATATTTAAATGTTTTGTCAAGCCAAATACAATTCATGTTTCTTGTTCTACTCTTGACTTCCATATTTTATCGCACCACACACACATACATATTGAGCTTTAATGAAAAATTATTTTTTCTTGCCACGTTCCTTTGCACTTAATTGCCACATTCGAAAAACCTACCGCGAACTCCGAGTTATAGTTAAGATCCAATGTCTGAACGACCATAATGGGTTTGCGAAAGATCTCATCGAAGCCCCAGGGCTTGTCAATGGTCAGTGAGATATTGTACGCAATGTAACCATACGGACCCTTACAGGTGCTAGGGCAGTCTGGGGGTATGCGCAGGGTCAACACATAAACATGTACCCCGGCACGGAACAGGGAGTTATCGAAGACATTGGTCCGTGTGTGCAGATACTGCTGATGGCCCGAATAGTTGGATGTCTCAGTTTTGCCACTCATGGACCACTGCACCTTGGCCTCACCCTCCAGGGTTACATAGACAGCTGCAGGGAATAACAACAGGCATCATATTGAGCTGGTCTGGAATGGGTATCCAAATGGGGCAACACCCACCATTCACGCGCTTCACCTTGTCCGTGCGCAGCAGAATGCGTCCGCTGATGTATTCGCCGCTGTTATAGACGGGATTCAGGCGATCCAGCTGAAAAACACAGGTGGTGGGCATGGCTAATACGAGGATGCACTTCACATCACAGCCAACAGACAACAGACAACAAGGAACAGGATATTAAAACTCAACTGAACTTTGGCACAGCCAGACGCGCACTGAGCACCGCCTTTGTGTTGTGCGTCTGTGCGTTTCAGTATATTCTCGGGCCTCTTGTTCTCTCGCTTGCTCGCAGCATCCGGCCGTGCTTTCGCTTTTGCCAAGACAGTACGCCTGCGGGGGTGCAGGGAGAGGGGCGCGAATCAATAAGTTGGCGCCATGCGTCTGTGTAACCGTCTACTGTCTGCTTCTGGTCAAATATTTCAAAGCTAAAACGTTACCAAATGGAGCAATGCTTTGTGGCTTGGGGCCTTTCAGTTTCTTTGTTTGACTGCCACCCTTAAAGGCTGAGCCCCAAACAACAATAACTGCGCCGCCATGTCCTCAATGGCGAGGTCAGCGGCGCTCTGTTTGTTTGTTTTTTTCTTCGATTTTGGCGTACGTTTTTCATATATCGTGGCCAAATCTGTAAATTTGTATATTTTTGGCGGCAATAAGTGCAGCCTAAAGCCTGCACGCATTCGATTTAAATGAGCTGCACACTATTGGTGCCACAAAATGTGGCAACAACAATTAACAGCATTACTCAGCACTTGCGGAGCTCTTCAGATAGCCCACGCACTCGATTGACTCAATTTACTGTAGATAATTGCGGCAACGAGCTCGCCTTGACCCGTTCCCACAATATGGCTTCGCCTATTTGATTAGGGCACAACAACAAGGACCATAAATAGATTTTGGCCTAAGTGGGTTTATGGAAGCATTAAATTCAATGAGAACTCAACTGGTTCTATTTAAAAAAAGCAGCAGGAGTTATTGATGCTTAATGTTATTGTTTTGATTATTAGAAGACATATAATTTTTATACCCTTGCAGAGGGTATTATAATTTTGACGTGAAATGTGTAACGCATAGAAGGAGACATCTCCGACCCCATAAGGTATATATATTCTTGATCAGCAACAACAGCCGAGTCGATAAAGCCATGTCCGTCTGTCTGTTTCTATGCGAACTAATCTCTCAGTTTTAAAGCTATCTTAATGAAATTTTGCAGAAGTCCCTCTTTCTGTTGCACGCAGCACATATGTGAAATCCAGCTGGATCGGACCACTATATCATATAGCTGCCATAGGAGCGATCGGTCGAAAATTAAGTTTTTGTATGAAATAACATTTTGTTTACCAAGATATCTTGACCAAACTTAGCATTTATTAGTTTTACTTTACTCATCATATATATGCAAAATCCTATTAAGATCGGACCACTATATCATATAGCTGCCATAGCAACGATCGGTCGAAAATTAAGTTTTTGTATGAAAAAACATTTTGTTTATTAAGATATCTTGCCCAAACTAGGCATTAACTATTTTCCCTGTGCTACTTAGATACGGGCAAAGCACTATAAGCCGAAGATAGCCTTTTTTTCTCGTTTTATTAGCTTTTATTATTATTATTGGAATTATTCTTAGTATTATTATTATTATTATTATTATTAATGTTTGTATTATTAATATTATTATTATTATTATAATTATATTCATGATTATTATTCTCATTATTATCATGATTATTATAACTATTATTATTATGGTATTATAATCCTTTTTATACCCTGATCTTGATCAGCATCAATAGCCGAGTCGATCTAGCCATGTCCGTCTGTCCGTCCGTCCGTCCGTATGTATGAACGCAAGGATCTCAGATCCTATAAGAGCTAGATACTAGAAATTTTAGATGTAGATGCTCCTAGGGCCTGCGCAGATCAAGTTTGTTTCCGATAATCGATAACTTACTCCGTTTCCAAGCAATCGATAAATCTATATCGATATCCTGTTTTTGGGCAATTTTGGTAAATAATAATAGCTAGAGTCACCAAACTTGACATATAGCTTCTAAAATAGAATGTATATATGCATTTGATGTTGGAAGAAGAGGAACATTATAACAATTTGACTAATATACGCATCTTTAAGTTTATTAGGGTCCATCCGCGAACAAAGAATAATTGAAAGTTCGCAAATGTATTATTTTACTGAAATACTTTAAATTGTAATTAAATGCAATTTTAAAGATACATGATTAAACAAGAAAAACAAATTTAATTAGCCTTTAAAATGTAATGTAAAATATATACCAAATTTTTTCAAAATTTATTCTTATATTTATCAAGACTTAATAGTATATTAAAATATTGTTCAGATATTAACTCGATTGGCTTCTAAAACTTAATATACGATAGATATGAATCAATTTTACTCTAGGCTAGATAGAATTATATCAAAAGAAATGATTCTCAATCAGTTAAAACATATCACATTAAATAAATAAAGAAGCATAACCCTAATGAAAACTGTAAAAACATTCAAAGATATTTAAAGACCTGCACGTACTCATTTATGTTAATTGGATACTTCGAGATCCCAACAATGACGCTTATCTGTGGGCAACATGTTTTTATAGAAAAACCGCAAAGCTAATCGCACGTACGACTGTTTCTTTTGGCGCCGCAGCAATTTCAGGTGTTCCCCGTGCCAGGTAATACTTGGGGCGCTCGATTCTCTGGAACAGCTGTGGGTCAGCTGATTGATGGATGAAAACAGTAAATCATTTTCACACAAAGCTGGAAAATATAATAAACAATAAAGAAAAGTTACAATGTGGCTTGCGAAGATTAAATACCCTTACAAATACACATTTATAGTGAAAACTTTTTTGTTATAATTATAATAATATTAAATTAGGAATAGGCAATTAAATGTTTGCTAAAACCGAATAGTCGATACTCGATTATTTTAACTAGTCGATCCTTACAATTTATTTATAAGTGTTACAATTCTAGATAAATGCACCAAAGTGAGTAATTAAATTGTATGACCCTTTGTAAGAGCATTAATTGTGTGTGCACGATTGCTTAACCATGCGTCAGGCACTCAGACACTTACCCAAATTAACAAAACCAAGCGAAGTACCGACCGTTGGGCTATCTTTGACGTCAACAGGTGGCGCAACAGTGCCCACCAGCAAGGGCAATCTCAGAGTCTCGCTGCAGCTGCTCCATGTCTCCAAATAGTAGGCGATCTCCATGGGTTCGCCAGGCAGACTCATAATGGGCGCCGTCAGTGGCAAATGCAGTTCAGCGGCCAGGGCACAACTCTCGTCCAGCACGCGCTGCACACGCTTTGACTTGGCCACGGGCTGTTGGCTTTGATAGGTAATCGATTGCAAGAGACGGGTTTGGCATGTGGCAGGCACAGTGGCATGCAGCTGATAGGCAACACGTTGACCGGGCGCAAAAACGCTGCGCAGCAAGCTGAGCCTCAGTGTGGCACTTGTGCTGCACGCAGGCCGCAAGTCGACTAGTTCAATGCGCTTTCTAATGCACAATCGCTGCTGAAAATGCTTGTCATGCTTGCCACGACGTTGCAGCGTCACGTGCAGCGTGTAGCCAGTCGCGCCCAGTGGCAGACGGCAGCTGCACGGCAAGTCGTGCGGCAGCTCGAATTGAAAGCTGCAGCGCTGTGTGTCGCCTGGTGGCAGGTTGAGTGTCTGGAGCAGTTGTTGCGTCTGCTGCAAGTGCGTCTTGTTGGCCACATAACAGATGTGGCCGGGCTCAGTGGCCGCTGTGCTATCATTGTGTTCGATGAGTGGCAAGCTGGAGTCTGCCTCCCGCCAGCTAATTTCGCTGCGGCAAATTAAACTGATGCTGACAGCTGGATGTGGGTTGGGGCAAATGTTATCAAATCTAATCAGTTGCCTGTACCAAACGCCGAAAAACACAAAAATGCCATTTGACAATTGACAGAAATCCACTTACCCTCCAGCTGTAGCGGTTTCTTACTGGCGCTCAATGCAATCGAGCCAGAAACTTGTTCGCCAGTGTAATAAACCGCTGAAGCACGCGACAAATTAAATTGACAATCGATGGGCATAATTCTCAAAATTAGAGGGTATTCAAAATAATTGTCTTCAACCTATTTCGCGGCACGCGATCTAATTCAAGTGCGATCTGTTCGACAGACGGCGCGCGAGTGACAGCGACAATGACTCGAACAACAATCACAATAACAACTGTTGCAAACTTTTTGCTTCAATTGTGAACGAAATTTGTTCTTGTCGCGATATAAAGATAATTTCAGTTTACGACAGCGCCTAAGCTCGCTGAGTTTTATTTATAAGTACATATAAGTATACTCTGTTTATTATTATTATTTCACTGGCGATTAGCCCAAGTCTCTGGTTGAAACTCTCTGCTCTTCGCAGCACTTGCACAATAACCAGTTGCGTTGCTAACCTGAATGCGGCTAAACAAACAGGTTCTAATAGTTTTGCGCCTGTTTTTAACGAAAAACAAATAGGAATTTCTTCGACGACCACTTGCTACAAGCTCGGAGTTACATCAAATTGAAGAAAAAAGAAAGTCTGCAAAGTGCTTGAGATTTTTAAAGTTAAAAGTGGTTTTATACGGATAATCGCTCTCAAATGTAAGTGTCCTAGATGAGTTTTACAGCCAAAGCGATACTCTGTACACGCCCTGACATTCAATTTTATTAAACACAAAAATAAAAGTAAATACTATTTAGGACTTTGTTATACTCTGTACGCGCCCTAAAGATTAAAATTAATTAAATGTAATTAATTTGTTTAACAGGTTTCTTATGCGCTTTAAAAGAAAACAAATATTGCCTTAGGCTTATTAATACTTTGTACACGCCATATAAATTATATTTTATTAAAAACAATCTGTTTCTGAAGCCATTTAAAGTGAGCCGAATGTTATTTAAGATCGAGAAATACCTTCTACGTTGTTTTAAAAAGTGAAACAAATATTCTTTAATGACTTAACTATACACTTTATGTGCCCTAAAGATTCAATTTATTTAAATGAAATATATTATTTCAGTGATTTATTAAATGTATAACATATTTTCTTCTTAATACTCTTTTCGCTCGTTGAATATTAAATATTATATTATATTATATTATATTATATTATATTATATTATATTATATTATATTATATTATATTTTCAAATATATTTATTTTAAATCAGTTTCTGGTGCGCTTTAATATAAAAACAAATGCTCTCTTAACACTTAGCAATTCTTTGTACATGCCCTTAAGATAAAAAGTAATTAAATTATATGTATTTTAAATAATATCTGGGTCAAGCCCTAAAGCTTCAATTTTATTGAATACAATATATTTTAAATTAGTTTCTGAAATGTTTTAACAAGTATAATAAATATTCTTTTAAGTAAAAAAAACCAAAAGCCAAGTTTGATTTAAAACTTCTAGAGTTCGGCTAGACCTACATAGGGCTATTTTTATACCCTGAACCCATTAAAAATTTGTATAAGGGTATATTGTATTTGTGCGAAAGCCAAATGTATGTAACAGGCAGAAGGAAGCAACTCCGACCCCATAAAGTATATATATTCTTGATCAGCATCAATAGCCGAGCCGATCTATGAAATTTTAGATGTAGATGCTTCTAGCTCCCGCGCAGATCGAGTTTGTTTCCGATAATCGATAACTTACTCCGTTTCCAAGCAATCGATAAAAATCGATATCGATATCCTGTTTTTTGGGCAATTTTGGTAAATAATAAGAGCTAGAGTCACCAAACTTGACATATAGCTTCTAAAATAGAATATATATATGCATTTGTTGGAAGAAGAGGGTTCAGGGTATCCCCTAGTCGGGAGCTCCCGACTAGAACCTCTTACTTGTTACGGTTAAACAGGTGCTAAAACTAATTAAAAATACACCTTACACCCAAAGTAATAAACTTTTTTTTAAGCCATAGCGCCTATAGATTCTTAGATAATTGAATTAATTTTATAAGAATACATCGTCATTCGTATTGCAGCCTTAAAATATATCTATTTGATATGATCTAAGTTGACTGCTATGTCATACACTTACAACGTATTATAATACCCGATCTACAAATATATTTCAAAGGGTGAACAACATCGCGTGAGTAGTAACGTTTATTGAAGTAAAGCAACGAGCTCGTTATCATACTTATATTGAGCTCCAAAGTATGCAAAAAACGTTAACAATAATTATTTGTTTGTATTTATTTTAAAGCAAATACTTTACCTACCAAACAACCCAAGCAAATCCAGTCTGAAACAGTTCATTGAGCTCCCATAAAATGAGTTTCGTTTTTGTTACCAAATAATCATAAAAAGACGACAAAAATTTAAACACACTTGAATTGGATATACACATAATAATATATATATATATATATTTATATAGTATATTGTTCCATTTTTGGTTTAATTTGAATGAATTGAAGACAGAGTATTTCTTAAGAGTACTACTGGCTAGACTGGTTACAAATTAGAGGAAGTACACAGAGTTCATTAGCATTATAGAAATAGTTGTAAAATTAACTAAATTAAGATATATAAGATAAATTTACGAACAATTTTAGTATTTTTAATTAGTTAGGATTGGACATAAATCAATACAAATTGAAATATAATTTTTTATTCAGTAAATTTGAGTGTTGTGTATAGTTTTTCGTAGTCATTATAAACATTTAAAATTGTGCAAATTGTTATATACTTTGCTTAAGCCTAAAAGTTTGTCTAAGTAGGGTTTAACTACGGTGATTAGTTTATTATCGTATGATGCCATACAATTATTAATAATTTTTCTTTCTTAAAGTTTCAGCCATAATAATAGAAAATCAATTAAAATTAATTTTAAATTTGATTCAAGATGATTCCCTTAAAGTTGAAGTTAGGAAGAAAGTTACTCAAAATAATGAACAAATAATTTTGAAATAAAAATATATTATAATAAAAAACAGTAGTATTAAATAGATTTTACATATGTAAGTTAAATAAATTACAATTAATTTATGCGCGCAACTACATGAATAATTGTTATATTGCAAAAATATCTATTGTATTATGCTGTTAAACGAATTTCATCAGATTAGACTTAAAAACTATATTCGCGCCATGAATTTTAAATGTGTTTCCGAGATTATTTTTGATTTTCGATTAAATATGTAAATTGTTGTTGCTGTTCTTCAATTATTTCTTCTCATAGTTCATAGGCTCATCAGTTCCATGGGTATTCGCACTATTTGCATCCGTTGCCAAGACCCCTTCCTGCTGCACTCCACAGCGAAATTGTGTATTCGAGGTTTCACTGTAGAGTGTCTCTGTTCGTTGTTGAAATCATCAAAATGTTGCATGTATTTTTGGGAATGGGGGAGCGGTAACAAGAGAATAAATGTACAATTTAAGTATATCTGTGAGACCCTTCGGTTTGGCTTACAACTAGAAGTAAGTTGTTTCCAGAAAAATGCAAACTAATTAATTGAAGTGAATAAAGCTATGACAAACTCTTATTGGATACTAAATAATTTTGTAAACTTAATTGCTAAGCACAAATTACATCAATTTGAATATATGATATATAACTTTTTTTTATATATGTATGTATATGCTTAATTTAAATTTCTCGAAAGTTTAATGAATAAAAGAAACAAGGGGGCATACATACTTAGTGTGAATATATGATTTGCTTTTTTCGACGTGCAATTTAAAATTAAATTTTAAGGAATAAAATGTTATTCAATATGCCCTGCAAAGCATTGAGATTTGGCTCATATGAAGATCGGAAAGCACGAAAACCACAACTAGAATTTGGTAAGGATGGAAGCAGATAAAACAGATAAGGAGTTTATATATGATATCTAAGCAGATGTATAAGACTTATATACACAGCAAAGAGTTCAAAACCAGACTTTAAAAATCTGTAAAATTTTAGCCAATTTAAATATTAACTTCTATATTTTTTATACTAAAATTTACTGATTAAAAAGATACTGGCTCTTCAACTACGTATATTGTGTGTATAAAACCTTTATACAATTTTTAAAATTAGTTGTTGTTTTTAAAGCGGACATCTCAAGTTATATTTAGTTTCAGGCACTTGCAGTATAAATTGAATTAAAAAACTTTATAGCAATCGGACAGTGATAAGGCCTCTTTTTTATATAAAGCTACCCAAAATCAAAGCCCAACACTTTGCAGTTCTTAAGCTTATAAAAATATTTGATCTAACTACTTTGAAATAGAAGGGAATAAAAAAATTAATTTGAATAAAATGCCACTCAGCCATTCAATTTGATTAGTTTTGCTTTGCTTTTGAGTTATTATTTTTTGTTTTTTTTCTTTTTTGCAACAGTTCTTTGTAACAATTTGGGTTTATGTGTCGGATTCAGTGGAATCATCACTACCGGGCGGTATGGTCGGTGTCTCATAATCATAATAGACCGGGTAACGCGGTTTAAAGGGCTCACGCTCACTTGTTACATCGCACTGAGCGGACATAATGCTGCTCATGCTAACATTTGTCAGGAATTCAATATCGTCGCTAAATTTTTCGCTTAGCGCCATGGCATCTTCATACGAGGGCGGCACTGCAATTAATGATAAAGATCAATATTAGACAATATTAGAAATATGGAATATAAAATGAATAATAGGAAATATTTCTTAGGTTTAATTTGTGCAAAGGTATTTCTTAAGTTTTGCAACAAAGTTTTTATGAGGATTTTCTACAGTCTTGGGTCTTAGCAATACTTTTCTTGGATAAAAACGTTGGAAACTATATTTTTTTTTATAAAATGTTTATCGATTGCAAATTTATTTATCATAAAGCTTCCGTAGAAACAATCGGATTAAAATGTATGGCTATACATAACACTTTTTTGATTCTCAAAGTAGACTAAAGCTTTCTTTTACTACTATAAAAAGGGGGGTGCATGTTTCCTAAGGATTTATTGGGTCTTATATAGCTATTCCAGTTTGTTTGTCTTACTCATGGGTATATAATCTGGGGGACTATCGCTATCGCTGGTTACTAATATTGCTGGCATGGCGGGCCTTAGGGCGGCAGTCGTTGGCGTTGATGAGGGACTTGTTTGGGCCGGCAGTGTTGCACCCGAGCGTTGCATGGCCTGTGTTGCCTGATTGTTGCTGTTGTTGTTGTTATTGTTGTTGGTGCTGCTGCTGCTGTTGTTGCTGCTGCTGTTTGGTTGGGTTCGCTGCTGTGGCCGTTGCCTTTGGTTCTGCTGCGTTGACATTTGGAAATGTTGGCTAACTACTTGATGCTGCTGCAACCGCCGATTAAATCGCAACAGAGCATCGGGTCCATCCATGATGGGTATGCTTCCGATGGTCAGCGGTATTTTGAGTTTCAGCTTCCAATGGAATTCGGTTGGATTCACAATGATCTTAATCGAATAGTTAACGCTAATGGGGCAGGTCGGCTTCACCGATGTCGGCGGTATCGAGGGTAGATCCAAATAGCCCCTGTAGACTTTTCTCGACCAGCGCAACACGTTGCCGAACTGCTTTAAAGCTATCAGATGCTTATCATAGCGATACTCGTGCTGCGGATCGTGCGATTCATAGCTAACCTCCTGCTTCAGCTTAACTTCGCATTCGGTCATATCGATCGACGACTCGTTGTTGATGTACAGTACAAAATGTATCTTCTGGCCGGGTGCATAGCCGCAATAGGGTGTTGAAAATTTGACCGTCAGTGGCCCGGTTGGGCAGCAAAAGCTCCAGAAGCGCTTGCGATCGAGTATCTCCAGCGGCACCTTTTCAATATTTAATGTTTAAAACTCAGAAACATTTAGCTCGGGAGTGGCTCACCCTGTAAATAGCATCTGCATTCAGATCCAACGGTTGTATCACGGTAAATGGCAGCTTAAACACCTTAGGGTAGCGACCCGATCGTTCGATAGTCGTTATGATCTCATAATGTATCTGGCCATATTTGCCATCAAAGGATGTGGGCAGATTGTCGGGCAGTATGACATGAAACGTGTACGAATATTCGCCGGCTAGCCAATCGATGCACGAGTTGCCCGCACACGAGCCAAGGACATACGATCTCGATGACAGATACGATCGATAGGCACGGCACATGGCGCGTTCGCTGTCCCGCGGATATCCCTTTTTTATCCAGCGTATCTTGGCATAACCGCTGACGGTGACATGAATGCCTGAAAAGAGAAAGAGTTAAGTAGGGAGAGAATTAGATGTAAATTTAATATAACGACTAATTGTATTGAAGATGTTTTAATGTAATGTACAGCAACAAGTTTGGAGAAATAACAAATTGGAAAGAACATTTTAATAATCGAAAAACGTTTATATTAATAAATATATAATATACATATAAAAAGTTGTGTGAGTTACTTTAAAGAGTTCACGTTCATGTAGGCTTTGAATTCGGAGATATGTATGTATTTAATTTTGGGTTATACAAAAATATAGCTTGATTTATTTTATTTTTTTAGCTCTGTAAAAAATTGAGAAAGTAGGATAAGTGTTTGAATTAAATGAATGAAAATTAAAATAAAACCAATTATTCAAATGATAATAAAGTTCGACTTTCTTCATAATACTAGTTTTTATTGCATTAATAATAATAACAATAATATCAGAGTCAAACAAAATATTGGTGTACTCCAATAGCTCTTAGTATTTAATCTAGTTTATTTTGTGGGAAATGAAGTTTTCGTAAATTTCCATTGCTCCTAAGTGGCCCTTTCAGCAAACGAATCAGCTGAAATGTCAGACGACAAAACTTATTACCAACAAATTAAAATGCACACGGACAACTTTATCGTCATCATCTACAACGACAACGACAACGGCAACAACAACAAGAAATGGATTGCACTTGCCACGCCTTTAACGAGTTCATGGATAAATAAAAAATGGCGGCATGCCAAAACAGACGCCACACAAAATGACAACAACAACAACATAAACGAAACTAAAGGGAGAATGGCAAATAACTAACTGTGCAACGGGAAAATAACGGTAACGAGCTCAACGAGTCAACTCAGCAGGGACATGCGACAGCAACAATGGCAACAGCAACAATAACAACAACAATTAATTGCATAGCACATTCAAAATGGTGACAATTATATGTGAGGTTAGGTTTGATATTTGACCGCTGAGAGATACAATTTAATAAGGACATCAGCGCGTGTCCTTCGGCAATTCAAATGGGTTTTCAGTGCAAATTTAAAATGTGAACATGACCCAAGCGGCACGTTACCCAGAAGTCGTGTGAGTCACGTGTGTGTGTGAAGTAAGGAGTGGAGTGGGTTAGGGTAGGCTAGTTTTGGGTAGGTTATTTGGTATCTGCTTACCTTTAATGCGCTTGGTGGCATCGACGCTAAGATCAACAACGCCAGATAACTCCTGTCCGGCATAGTAGACACCTTGTGGATTATTATCAAATGATATAAGGCACTCAATGGGCATATATTGCTATATATTTTGCGTGTGTGTTCGTGTGTGTCGCGTGTGTATGTGTGTTTTAGTGTTTCCGTGTGTGTCCGTGTGAGTGTGTGCTTGGCTTTGATTAAAAACAGGCCACAGGTATAAAATATCACGTTCGCTTTTGGTTATCTTTCAAATTAATTGAAATTTATATATATTTAGTCGCCTATCAAGCCATTTGCTTTGCTTCGTTTTTGTTTTTGCTGCTACACTGCATTTTTTCACTGCTGCCCCGCCGCATACACACATGCAGCCGACCTCCAAAGAATTAATTTTCGAAGAGCTTTCGTATTTAACCTACTTTATTGTTGCACAAAATTGCAAAACGTTTTTACGCACAATCCAAACAACAAGCGTTACTATAAACAACTCTTATTGAGTTAGGCTTTTCAATTTTTAGCGTATTAGAATTCAACTTATTTGTGTATCATTAATTTCTACTTGTCTGTGTGTGTGTGTATGTGTGTGTGTGTGCCTGAGTGTTTGTGTGTATGCCCCGCTTTAGCCTTTTTCTATATTTTCTCGCTTGCGTTTCGCACACTATGCGCTTTACTTTCGCACACGTCCAGCAGCCGCTCGTGTTGAAGTTATTCTGTTCTCTGTTCGTATACGAAAGGCAGATGGGACTTGAGCCAACAGAGGAAGCCACCGCATAGACATGCGCTCTCTCACTCTCTCACACACATGCACACACTCAACAAATATACACGCATGCAAGAACGTAACTGCCTTGTTTTTGTTCACGGCTTGGCGGTTTATTTATCACTCTTTGGCAGAGCTGTCAAATGATGTGAACAAATATATATTAATTATTACTCTATCTAGTAGTTAAAATTAAAAAAAAAATTTAATCAACTTTTTATGGTGTACTTTTAGGCTTAGCGCAGCGCGGCAGTTCCTTTACACAACAGCTGCACAGAAGTTAGTTTTGGTATTTTTTAGCACGTTTCAAGCAACCAAATTCAACAGTGTGGCAGCACTGTCGCTTGCTGTAAACAGCTGTTTTACTCATATCGCATCATATCGCAAGATTGCAGCGAAATAATCATCTAAGTACTTTAGTTTCACAATTTAATTTGACCTTCGAAAAGTACGTTGCTGTTTCTTTAAATAAACCAACGCCTATTAATTATTGCACAACCCAAAACATAGTGAGGCGACTGCTAATTGTGCGCAAGATGAGTCAAGCGGCTTCCATTGATCAACTTTCGGGTGAGAACTCGATTGGCCGCAAACCCTTTGAAATGGATATATAATAATGTACATTTTAGCGCTGCGCATGAAATATAACGAGCGCAAGGATGCTTTTCTGGAGCAGAACATAAAGGTAAAGGATCCGTTTTGCCTATTTCGCGACTGGCTGGATGCCGCCCTAAATACCAAGGAGATCATAGAGCCAAATGCCGCTGCCTTGGCCACGGTGGATGCCTCGGGCAAACCCTCCAATCGTTTTGTGCTCGTCAAGGAGGCCAGCTTCGAGGGCTTCACATTCTTCACCAACTACGGCAGTCGCAAGGCGGAGGATATTGCATGCAATGCAAATGTGGCCATTGCCATCTACTGGATGCCCCTGCGTCGCAGCGTGCGCATTGAGGGCATCGCCGAAAAGATTTCACACGAGGCATCCCTCAAGTACTTCCACGAGCGTCCGCGAGCGAGTCAAATTGGTGCCGCCGCCAGTCCGCAGAGTCAGCGCATACCCTCACGCAGTTACCTGGATGAGGTGGAGGCGGGCATTAAAGCAAAACTGGGAGCCGATGGCGAGGTGCCGCTGCCCAACTGGGGCGGCTACCTGGTGCGACCCAGTATCATAGAGTTCTGGCAGGGACAAACGGATCGCCTACACGATCGCATACGCTTTCGACGTGGCCAAGGAGTAGCCGATGAGATCGATGATCAATTGGTGCACAAGGGAGAGAACGGGTGGGTCTATGAGCGCTTGGCCCCCTAAGGGAAGCAAGACCTAAGAATAGTAGATGATGCGCATTTGTAATGTCTTCCAGAATAATTGGTAATGAGGAATATGCAAAACTTTTTGAAAGTTATTTGAAATATCATAATTATAAAAGATTTAAAAATGTACGGGTAAAAGTTACTAACGAAGGCATAGTTATTACAGAAAGTTGAAGCGTTAAATACAGACGTCTGAAAGCACAATTATATTCTAAACAAATAAAATATATATGAATTAATAATACAAAAAATTTGAATCTATTTAATTAAACATGTTTAGTAACATGTATATTGATCCCACGTAAATATCGTCGCCAAAAGGCGATCTTAAATAAATCTTGTAATTAAAGCAAGGATCCTAAGCGAACTGTTCAATTCATAGGTATTGTCTCTACCTCTTCCTCAGCTTTCATAACTAAATATTTAAAATTCTCTATACATATTCGGCATGTAAGTATCAAAATTTTTGATCAAATGAAGCTGGGCCCAGCTTTAAAACAGAGGCTTCGGGGTGTCGCAGCTGCGATGCATTTGCTGACACCCCGCAGCCGCAAACAATGTCCGATGCGTAAGATGGCCGCCAGAGTTGCATCGGAAACCTGCCCAGAATTGCAGAAGTGTGCCACAAGCATCGCCATCCGGGAGCCGTATGCCATTCTGCAACACTGGCTGACGATGGCTCTGAATGAGGAGCCAAGGTGCGAGCCTCGCATGGCCTGTTTGGCCACCGTGGATATGGCCGGGCAGCCTGTCACGCGAATGACCAACGTCGAGCAGATAAATGCCGCTGGGCTTACATTCTATACGACGCTGGGCAGTCGCCTGACGGGCGAGATCACCAACAATCCTCATGTGTCGCTGCAGTTCTTTTGGCCGCACATGAGACGCAGTGTACACATTGCCGGACATGTCAGTCCCGTGTGCGCTCTGCAGGCACAGTTGCAGTTCGCCCGATATCCGCGTGAAGTGCAGCTAAGCATGCACGGCATACCAAGCAGAAGAAGCGGCATCTACAGCAGGATCAAGGAGCATTTCGCCAATCTCTTCAGAAGTGATCGGGTGCAGGAAGTGCCGGTACCCCGCGATTGGGGCGGTCTTCTATTGTGCCCAACTTTATATGAGTTTTCTCAGGTGGGCTCCGAGGCGCCGGGCAGGCGGTGCATGCGTTTTCGACGCTGCCTCACGCTACCACGGGTAGGTTGAGACCTTGGTACAGTACTCTCCAAAGGCTTATTTACATTAATTGCTTTAGGGTATGAGGAATGAAACATGCAATGCGGATCGCTATGATTGGGTCTTTGACAGCTGCACTGACCATGATAGCTGCATAATTTAAGCCAAGACATAAATGCTGTTGTGTCATAATGAATATTTCTTTTTTTTTCTTTTTGGGTATTTCTGATTTTGACATTCAAGAACAGAGCCGCAAAAAAATTAACAACAAATGTGGTGGCGTTTAAAAATTTAATAAAAATTCTCAAGCAACAGAGCACACACGCATACGCATATAGGGGGCTTTAGCTGCAGAGGCGTTAAGGAACTGCAGCCAAGCGTAAAGAATAATGCCCGACGGAATGTGCAAGTCTCAAAACAACAACAATAATAATGTCAACAAGAAGCATAGGCAACTCCACAGCAAAGTAAATAACGAAAGCCCAGCCAAATCACAACACCGGAAAAGTGAACAATAAAAAGAAGAAACAGTCTGCATAGCGGCTTGTGACTTGTAGTGCACCCGCACCGCCATAGCCCTACTCACTCTCTCTCTCTCTCTCTCTCGCATGTGCGCTTTATTGTTTACTTTGTTGTCATCTATGCTATACATACTATTCCGCTTGCGTGTTTTTGTTTTGCTCGCTTCATTTCCATGAATGTGAGCTTCGCATTTAGCGGCCGCTTTTAAAGCTTCTAGCTGCCGTGTCTGTGTGTGTGTGTGTGTGTGTGTGTGTGTGTGTGTGTGTGTGTGTGTGTGTGTGTGTGTAAGAGAACTGGTGGATAAGGGAGAATTAAACTGCGTCTGGGCCTGTTTTCCTGCGAGAAAATTGCGGCAAAGGCAGAGAGCGAAAAAACTTGTTGGTCGAAGGCTATTGTGCTCTCCGGATACAGAGTTGCCGTATGTTCTAAAAGTGTCGGATATATGTTCTGAAGAAAAATGTGCACGCCATTTTATGTTGCATTTCATGCATTTATAATCTTTATATAAGCTACGAACCTGTATGAACCCAGTTTTAAATCACAATGCAGCTTGCAGTTCATCTAAGATGTAATATTTTTAATTATCATTTTATTATTGCTATATTAAATGCCGCCTGACAACCCTCTCAGGATAACGGCAACGGCTGCCCATGCTAGCAGGCTAAGGTCCATGCCGTGCTCGCTAGGCCGCCAGCAGTGAGGGTTGCCGAGTCGTTCAGTACGCCGCGCGGCTCAAGCTCAGCACGAAACTCGCAGCTCGCAGGCAGGCCACCCAGCGGAATAAAATAGGCTAAAATTCAACAATAATTTCCAGCGGTAGACTTACAACGCATTTTGTATATTTTATTAACAAACAGAAAATCTGAAAACTCATCAAATAAAATCTATGTGTTAACTGTGAACTGTTTTTTGTGTACAAACGATTTTGCTAGTGTTTTTTCTAAGTGTACCTATATGAGTGTGCTTTAGATTAATGGTATTTTTCAATTTAAACAAAAATAGTTAGTGTTGCTTAATTATATATACACAATTCATATATATACCTTAACCAAATATACGTACATATATACAAGTTAGTGTGCCAGTATTTTTGCTAAATGTATTGTTATTGCGATAAGCCTATTTATTTAAGCACACCTTAGACTAATTAATAAAGATTATAATTGAAATTAACGTACTTTTAATGCAGCGCAGCAAGCTGTCAAAAATAACGGAAGGCGTGTCAGTTACTATCAGAAAGTAACTGCTTGTGTCTGTGTGAGAGAGAGTTGCTTTGCAGGACTGTGTACGTGTGTGTGTGTGTGTCTGTGTGTGTGTACGCGTGTTTTAGATTTTTACATAAGCAGCGCTGACAGCGCCAGCTCAAACGGCCACCTGCGGCTACATGTCGGCTACGCAACAAAGGGTTCCTTTATATAACTCTAAAACGCGCAGCTGTTCCTGCAACGTGACAGCTAAAAGCGTATAGCGTAAAACGTGCAACGTGAAACTTGCCTTGCAGCATTCCAAGAGATTTGCAAAAAGCAGCGTCAACAGCAACAACAACAGCTAGTTAAAGTTTAGCGATAAACCAGAACAATGGCTAACTTAAAACCCAATACACTGCACGTAGACAGCCTAAGCCCGCGACAGCGCAGTCTGAGCAGCGGGCTGAGCAGCGCCTGCAGCTCCGGCAGCGTATCCCCAGTGCCCATCATACCGATCATATCGATTAGCCGGGATGGGGATGAGTCCGAGACAGAGTCGGAAATTGATACGGAACCGGCTCGCATTTTTCTTCGACGCATGTCCACCAATATAAAGCGCAACAACAATCTGGTGAGCATCCAATTAAACTGTTCTTCTTGTTGTTTTTGTTTATTATCCTGTGGTCCAGTCGCCTTTTCGTCGCGTTGCAGTCGTGGGGAGCACATCACCAGCCAAGTTTCTGGAGCGGAAGTTACATGCCGCGCCATGCAGACGCACTCCAACGTACATATGTATGTATGCGGGCTAGGATGGCGGGGAGGGACTCTGTTTTAGAGTGTTTCTGTTTATGTTTGTTCCTGTCAAAAGGTCATCTCACAGTTGTTGCGTTCAAGTGGTTAGTAAATATTTTAAATGTTCGCATAAGCAAACGTAACACAACTGTTAGGGGGCAGATAGCAAAGGACTTCTCTACCACTGCATTTCCAGCGTAGGTCAAGGTTCACAAGTTCCACAAATGAAATGACTCTGCCTTGACAGACAGACATCAGCTTTGGTGAAAATTGTGCTTTGACTAACTAATGTAGGATGTAAACATTAATCATATAAGTATTAAAGTTGGATTAACGAAATAAGATAATAAAATATTATTATTAGAGCAGCAAATCATAAATTACTAGTAGTCGCCAAAACGCCAATCAAAAATGCAATTAGGTAGTATGTTAATATTCTTTTGCAAATTAATAAAATTTTTCGTAATCCCATTTTAATTATATTTTGATGTGCGTAAGCATAGAAAAAAAGCAGCACGAAAAACCGGACTTTCAAATCAGTCCTTTATATATTTTAATTAAAAGTTACCATAGTTGCAAAGTCAAAAACCGTAAATAAGAGTCAGAAAAGTCGCGCCAAATGCGAGAGCCTGTAAATGCAACAGGGGCAGCTTTTCAAACCAAATGAGCGCTTTAATTAAGCTCTTCCTGCTACCCACAGCTCTTCATGTATTTGTATAGTATAAATATCATTTTTTTATTCATTGCCCTTCGTTACGGGGTATCAGGTGGACAACGCGTTGTATGAGTAAGATGACCATTTTATGTTAATCATACGCATCGTTGCACATTGCGTTGCGTTTAAGGGTTGGTTTATTTTATTCACCCAGTCAGTACAGAAATATTTATAGCTGCACCTCAACTGAACCGACGGGCATTGTCATAGTTAATATTTGAATTATAATACGGGGATGTGCATGCTAAAAACTTTTACCATAAATTCCCACTGGCAACCCTTTCCAATTACTCATCCGTTTTCTTATTTTCATTTTTTATATAAATTGTTTTCCCGCAATTTGTTTTGAAATTGAGCGCATTTGTCACTTGGTTTCGTTGCCTGGCAGTTTACATTTGTAATATATTTGTTATACCCTGAACCCATTAAAAATGGGTAAAAGGGTATATTGTATTTGTGCAAAATCCAAATGTATGTAACAGCCAGAAGGAAGTATCTCCGACCCCATAAAGTATATATATTCTTGATCAGCACCAATCGCCGAGTCAATCTAGCCATGTCCGTCTGTCTGTCCGTCCGTCCGTCCGTCCGTTCGTCCGTCCGTCCATCCGTCCGTATGTATAAGCGCAAGGATCTCAGAACCTATAAGAGCTAGAGACTTGAAATTTTAGATGTAGATGCTCCTAGTGCCCGCGTAGATCGAGTCTGTTTCCGATAATCGATAACTTACTCCGTTTCCAAGCAATCGATAAAAATCGATATCCTGTTTTTTGGGCAATTTTGGTAAATAATAAGAGCTAGTCACCAAACTTGACATATAGCTTCTAAAATAGAATATATATATGCATTTGATGTTGGAAGAAGAGGGTTAAGGGTATCCCCTAGTCGGGAGCTCCCGACTAGAACCTCTTACTTGTTTTTCAAATAATTTTGAGCTGAGAGGTGTCTAAAATAAGATCATATTAAAGTTAACTGAATATTTGCTTAGACCTAGTTTAAAATCAGCTTTAAAGCAGTTTGAAACCTATTTTAAACCTGATTTAAACATGCTTTTAAATAAAGAAAAATAAAACTTACTTTTAGCCTGCTTTTTAACCTTTTCTAAAGCAGTTGCAACCTACTTTTGGAGCCAACTGCAAGCTGGGATTTTGAAAATATGTCGTCAGCTTCAATTTTAAATTTTAATGCGCTAAACATTTTAAAATTCCTTTTTATTTGAAAATATTTACCTTATATTCATCAGATTCTTTAAAGCCAGCTTTAATAATAGAAAATGTCTACCTAAAAGATGAAACTGATACTAAATAAATTATCCACACAAAAAAACGCAAAAACCTGTGCAGAATTTTAACACAACTTTGGCTGGCTTTATACTTTTGTCTGTGTCTGTTAGCCCTGTCGTAGTCTGTGATTCACGGCCAACCATTTAAAAGACGACAAAAAAAACAGCAGCCCCCTTTAACTTTGCAAAGATTGAAAAGTCTTTGTTTTTGTTGTGGCACAATGTCTGCCACTTGTGGACTTGCCGCAGTATCCATAAGATACACGCAAGCCACACAGATACAGTGCCAGATATGTATCTGTGTGCATAGGACTGTGTGTGTGTGTTCTTGCATTGGAAACTTTGGCGCCGTCTTAAATATTTACGACTATTTACACAGTCAATTGACTGCGCCACAGCACACGTGACTGCAAAAGCCAATTTAATATATAATTTCCAGTCTGATATAATTTAATGTTACGCTTTGTTCTGCCTGTTCGTAAATAAAACAAAAATTGTTAGTGAAAACATGCGATTGCAATAAATAAAGAGGCAAAACGTACATTGAAATAATCAAAGCGAGCCGGAAAATAGAGCCGAAAAGTGTGCGTGGCAAGCGTTTACGTTATGTTTACGTTGTGCGCATTAGTCTGTCTGTGTGCGTGTGTGTGTGTATGTGTGTGTGTGTGTGCGTGCGCGTGTGGGCGTGACGCTGCCCCCAAATGAAGAGAGAGTAGCAAGAAAAACAAACAACAACAGTTAATTGTCTCTGTATATCTGTGTATCTATGGCCTGGACCGGCTTTTATTTAACTTGGCCGCTACCGCATTAACTTACAATCAATAACCGGCTAACGAAATTTTCAAATACGTTTATCATCGTAAGGCTCGTTGCGCCTGAATTTCTTGTTGTTACTTTTATATTATTTTTATTTTTACTTTTTCTGCCAGGCAACTTGACGTATACGTGATATGCTGCCCGATTGTGTGCGTGTGTGGCCAATGAAAATAATGATTGATTGATGTGAGCTGATCTGAAACGGAAGCCGGAAAACTTTGATTTTTAGTTAAACTTGCGAGCAATGGCCAGCAAAGAGCATGAGTGTGGGCCGAGCTCGAGTGGGCGTTGGCTTATATT